TTTTTGACTTTAGTTAGTCTAGCCATTAATGGTTTAATTCAATCAAGTACTCAGGTTAGGCATGTCAATATTTTACTTACTAGTGCTTTAACGATGGCTTCATTACCATCTGCTACAGCTAAATGAAGTGCTAAAAGACGTAAAGAATAATAAGTTATGCTGACAATTTTGAAAATAAATTTGTCATATTCTATCCATCCCCTGAAAGTGTAAATTTTGATTATCATATGAATGATAACTTACTGGTTCTTCCTTCGCTATCAATGTCGTTAATATCGGAACCAAAATCCTATCAGATATCAAAAATTTGTGTGTTAACGTTAAATATAATTTCTATCTTTATTTCTCCTTCAAATCTACTAGTGATATTTCGTAAAATAAAGTAGCCGTCATAAATATTAAAAGCAAATCATTTATCATATTATGTTTGTTAGTTGTTATTATCCATTACTAGTATGTTAGGGATATGATGGAAGGTTTCAATTAAATTTTTACTTTTATTTCCATTTTTAAGGGTGTAATAGTCTCACTGCTACTACGTTATGTTGAAAAGTTTGTTAATATCAATATCATTCATCTATTAGGGGTGTGATGAAAAGCTAATAGATAAATTATATTTCTTTTAAATTTATTGAAGTTATTAGTATGGGATAATAAAAACGTAGCCAATGTTAAAAAGCAGGAATAGTTGTCTTCTACAGCTTACTACATTACGATCTAAGGTAAATTAATTAGACTTACAATTAGAGCCTTTGCCACGCTACTGTCACTATTATTTGCAGTCCAATGTAATGGAGTTTTTCCTTCGTTATCGTGAATTACTGTACTTGCTCCCTATATCGATAGTATGCGTTAGCGAAGGAGAAACGATGATAAATACCTTAGTAATTGATTTAAATAAATCATGTTATAGATTTATTTAAGTTCTTATAATAAAGAAATCATAGATAATCGATAAGAATAAAGTGCTTACAGCTTTTAATAGAATTTTAGTGTTGTCTAATTTGCCATATGATGCACACCAATGCAATGCAGTCATCTACCGATATTATATAAGAACTCATGTTAAAGTAGGTAGAGTTGTGGCATGGTCAATAATACTCGTATAATTTGTATTTGAAATTGATACCGATTAAGATTTTTACCTGATCGCAATCTTGATGATTAAGTTCAGGCTTTCCCAATTTTTTAATCATAAAAGATAAGGACTGTAACGTATATGATAGAAATGGATCTTGTTAATTGCTGGTATACAGTATTTTTGAAATTAGTTTAGCATGTACTTTAATTAAAAAATACCTTTGTATTTTGATGACTTGTTGCTTGAAACACTGGAGTCCTAAATATTTTTTGTAAAGAATGAGATTGAAAATATCATTGCGAAGGTTGAGGCTAAAACAATTTATAAGGACATGTTTTCAAACATCAGACTTACGATAAATATAAACTTACCTTCCTTCATTATCCTGTGCCATAATGTTGGCTCCTTTATTTATAAGTAACTTTAAGCTACGATAATTGCCCTATTTTGAGAGTAGTCATTCATTCTCAACTGATGATATAATTATCAAGATAATAATCTTTAATGATTTATTTTCAAGTTTGATATATTGACCTGATGTGCTGCCCAATGCAATGCTGTTCTTCCATCGACATCTGCTACATCGATCTATTTTAATTTTTATAAGAGAACAAAATGTCAGAATTTCCTATATTTTTTATGATGAACTTTTAATTACTGTCTTATAAAAGTCCCTTACTTTAGCACCGGCCTTTAATAGCATTTCCGCACAATCAACGCGATCTCCAAGTACACTAAAAACCTTCATATGATGACGACAATACAAGACGATCAATGTCATTACAAGTTGAACATTTTCAATTATATCGTTCAGTATACTCACCAGAGGGGTTCTCCCAAATTGGTCTCCTTTATCTAACTTTTCCAACTGTTCGCTCCCTTAATATTTTAGTCATGAAATAAGAAACTTTAATCTTGGAACTAATTTATTCTTGTTAGCTTTATCAGAATTCTTACCAGGCTGAAGTAATTTTTGAAGCATTATTTTGTTGCCATTGATTGCAGCTGCATGGAGGTCACTATGATGTCTACCTATATATTATAGCAATGAGATCGTGTTAGATGCATTTCAATAGAAACCTGGTCACTATTCTTGATGCTTGGAAAATACTTTAGTCATAACTGAGAACTTTAATGTCGTTACAAGATACAGTGGAATAGGCAGCATTTGATAGCAAGAGGAAAAGTAAATTAATAAAAGTAAAAGCTCTGTCAACGCTATTTAGAGTATAGGAAACTTACCATCAAATTGTGTTGCTCTAAGAACAATCTCTGCGTCGTAATCTTCATTCTATGAAAGTATAATGATGTCAATAAATTGCTACAATTATTAACAGGAGAAAGGGATAGGAAGCAGTCAAGTTGGAAAAAAAGGTATCGATATATTTATATCAGTAACATTTACTCACTTGGCTGTATCTGGAATTTTGAGAGGTAGAATCGTATTCTTTATCCTAAGAACGTAATGAATATAACGCCATTAGCATTAAAAAAGTTGCAAGTTTATGATCAATATTAGAGAAGGGAAATTCAAGAGTCTGATATGGGCATATTGATTGACTGTATATTAAAACAAATTATTTTTGCTTACCGATGACATGATTTACATTTGGCCTGTGGATATTACCAGTCTATTGCTACCTTGAGCTTGGTGCTTGGTTGCAAGATAACTTGTTAATTTAATCTTCTAGAATTGTAGTATCAAAAGTCATATCTAATTACTACTTGGAATGATTTCCTTGTTGTTATACTACAAATACAGGGTATACCTACATGATATTGATATAGAGTGATATGCTTAGATAAATTACTATTTTCTAAGCAGATTATTATGCTGTTAACTAATCAATACAATTTCTGTGTAGTATACCAAATCAGATGATAATATGTCCGTAGAGGATAGCATCCAAACTTACCTAAACTTTGCGATTATTTTGGTATCACTTGTCGTCAAGAAATGTTATAGTAAATTGTTAGACACCATTATCGCCCAATTCTGCCTTGTATTAATCTATTTTACATTTTAACACTAGAGTCGGCAATAGCTAACGGCACCTTTAGCTTACTGCAATAACAATAAAGTATCCGTCGTTGTTACTAGGCAACATGGCACGCTTGCTCAAACACTGTCGATTTGCTTGACTCGCATCGTATGCAATGGCGGAAATGTTTGCGTAACGATGCAATGCGTTAAATATGGTGTTATTGTGGCTCATCAAGACAACAATCGCAAGCCTGTATATTCTACTCATTAATATATTATTGGCTAGAGGATGAATTCTTACAGGAATCTATTGAATTCAAAATTACCCCCTACCTTTCTATTAATATAACAGTAGCTGGAAGGGTAGACAATCATTTTACCTATTGATGCCAAAGCTATTGCAGTAGGTTATGCCGGTAATGATATTCATTCATAAACCCTCTCATCGATCATGATCGATGATATTAGCTCTATTATATTGCACATACTATACAAGAGTTTTAATTGCCGGTATGCCATCAATAGTTGAGTGAATGAAATTGGAGCAGGAATCATATACCCTTACTACCGATTATAAATCACCCTAAAGTCTATGCAATGAATGGATTTTTAACCTTTTAAGGTTCGCAATCCATCAGCTCGAAATTTGAACTAGTAAAATAGAGCCAGTCTCTATTGTAGCACAAAATTTCATGATATTAGCCATCATCTACAATTACTGTATTTTATTAAGCACAAACGGTTATTCTATGTCACAAAGTGCTTCAATACAGTATCGCTGCTGCATTTTCAAAACACATTACTACTGCAATGAGACAAAATCACTTTAGCAAAGTAGTATTCTAGGAAGTAGTCTAGAATCACTGGGCAATTCAATGTGAGAAGCTACGCTTTTTGTTAAGGTCTCTAGCCAACTGTAGTAGAGAGTGATTGACCAAAGAGGTATCTCTATGGTCATTGACAACGAGAAATTGATATAGGGCGAATATTTCTTCTTCGAAATACGTCGGCCTAAATCGGCTTTTGATATTATTCCAAGGGCAATTGCATGCAGAGTTTATCATTAGAGTCAATTTTCTAATCATCGATGCCAACGCATTGGAAATGTCTCCTTTCGTAGGTACTGTAAACTAGTCGTTACTTCAACGTTGCTAACTTGTGGAGTATAGGCGCTCCATCAGGGACGGCTGCAGGAAGCTGTCAGTTAGTCACTGCAGCATATCGTCCTGGACTGTCATGGACTTTTAAAAACCTCTTAAGCACAATATACAATATTATTGTTAGTAGGCCAGCTTCTTGATACATGGGCTTCTCGATACATCAGCTTCTGGATACGTAGACATCTAGATACATGGACTTCTAGATAGATGGGCTTCTAAATACGTAGGCTTCTACGGTAGATACATGAGCTTTGAGATACATGGATTTCTAGATACAAGTTCAATATTGCATATGGACTTGTAGATACTGTACTGTACTCTACAGTATATTGACTAGATACCTTTTCTAAATTAAGTAATATCACATTGAAATCTATTCTAATTTACCAAGTTCTACTCGAAAGCAGTTCTATAAGGTCATAAAATGTTCTTAAATTAGTCCAAGTGATGACAAAATTAGACATTAAAGATCCCATAATAAGTGACTGATTTTTCGAGATTTCGGCCACATTAGGTAGAAAACGTCCATCCGTCCGCAAAGTGTCCCATCCATCCCATCCAGGTGTATCTAGTAGTCCATAGCCGGGACTCTAGTTTATTCAGTGTTTTTACGGTACTGTATCGTACACTGGACTCACCATAGTACCCACGCTCCTGTAGTGTGGATGACGAAAGAATATTGACTGGAATTAGCGGCCATTGCAAGCTGTTGGAGAAGAGAAATCATCCATTGAAATTGATTTTATACCTCGATTATTTAGATTAGCAAGACAACATGGGTGGTGGAGATTTGGTAAGCTATAGATGATCTATTATCTCAGTCTGGTCTAGTCTATTGATTGCTGTGAGAGAGTATAAGTTGGACATGACTGTGTTATAATTCTCCATTTGTATAAATGGAGAATTGTCTGCTTTAGTAGAAATGGTCAGTTGAAGTTGGACCGGCCAGTTTGACTGTCCTTATTTCCATTGAAATTACCGATCTTTACTATAAATATTCATGCTTTCCTTGTTGATGTGGCTAGATAGGCAATGCATCTACTGTATCTTCTTATAAATACTCGGTAGAATGACTATTGCAAGTCTGTGCTGTAGTGGATTTCTTTCAAGCCGTCTAGCTATTTTGTACCTACTGTACTGTACATTTCACCACAAATTTGTAAATATCTTGATCATGGCAGATATCAAGTGCTTTTTCCTTGATTTATTACTTTATGTAGTATATTCATAGTTACGGTGAACTCAAAAAAACTTACCACAGACGTTCTCTTGCCCCTAAGATGGACGTATAAGCTTGACGTAAGAAAGTGTACAGTATATTCATTATTTGTACGCAATACGAACATAGACTCACAAATAGAATTGCAATACTATTAGCCATCACGTTGATGAAGGACATGATCGGTCTACGCTATCATAAGCTGATCAAGACGAATCATAGTCTACGTACTACATCAAGTAGGCAGCAAACTCTTGAAACTATGTAGCAAATATAACTATAGTATCATAGTCATTGGATAAGGTTAAAATCAAGAAGATTCAGGGACAAATACTGCAGATATTACACTACTGTATTAGCACAGCGATTAATTTGTTAATGCCTTGATTGATCGTACGCTAGATGACTATATCTTGTCTATAAAGCTATATTACGATCCAGTCAAATAAACTGTCCTAATATTGTATTACCAACAACGTGATAGAATTTGAAAAAGAGTTGGCATCCACAAACGTTACACAATGTTGAAAGAGTCTGGAAAGCTGAGCAAAAACAACAAGCTGAACAGCGAAAGATTGATCAGTTAAAACAAGAGATTGAAGAAGAGAGAGCGAGAGAGGAAATCCAAGCGCATGCTGTTTCTACTGGCGTTCTCAGGTTAGTCTAATATTTATTATCAATTTACCCTTATCATGTACCTTTCAATAATATAAAAAGTATCCGCAAGGAGGAATCCAAATCTGTCTTCAGTTATCTTCTATTTTAAAACTAACTATTAAAATTGATATCTCCTCCTCCCTTCTATTTACCTCTACTAACAGGAAAAAGTCCAATCGACTAGATTGGATGTATGCTGCACCTGGAGTCAGTGCTGATCGTGAAGAATACCTCTTGGGAAAAACTTTGGATAATAAACTACTCAATAATGATGCCAAAGAAGAACAAAACGTAAACTGCCCAAATATATCGACAGCTATTATTTGAAGTTTATGCTATTGCCAACGGTAAAATATCATTAATCTTACTATTTCAGAATCCGCTTACTATGCCTAGCTCATCCTCTGATGTAGTTAACAATCCAAAGGATATGGCAGCAAAAATTAGGGAAGATCCGATCTTTCTCATGAAGTAAGGCTACTTTGATTTTTAATCTTAAGATATAAGTTTGCATTTCGGGAAACAAACAGTAAGGTTTACTAGAAAATCACATTTTTAAGTGATTAAATTAATCTTTGGGCTAAATGTTGATTAATTGACTAATATCATTGTTGGAGCAGATACGTGAATCATGGTGTTATTCTAAATATACTGCCATTAATGTGATCTCAAATGCAGTATAGGCGTTCATGTTACACAGTCTACTGCGTGTAATGTCAAGTCAACAAACTTCATGTGTGACTTTTTGTTATTAATAGGAAACAAGAAGATAGTAGAAAAAAGGAGTTGGTTCAAAATCCGATCAAAATGAAAAAACTAAGAGAGTTGGTTAGTACCTTTTCCTTCAGAAAACGATTAAAGTCCTCTTTGTAACTATATCACTTTAATTCTCTATTTATATGGGTATATTACGTGACTAGCTTCATAACACAATGGATAAAAAACCTAAAAAGCATAAAAAAAAGAAGAGCAAAGATCACGAAAAGAAGCATAAAGATGATAATGTAAGAGTTCACCAAGACCACCATCGTAGTATGAACCAGCACAGGGTTAGTCTATATATAACTACTGTCATTACTAAATTATCAATTATAAAATTATTAAAACTGAAGTAATGTAAAGCATTGCAGATGTGGACATAAGGTTAATAGCTTATAAAATGAGTTTGATTTGCAATTAAATTTTGAACGTAATGTAATTCCTAGGACAGGGAACGAGGTCGAGATATATCACCATCGCATCGACGACGAAGCGAGCAAAGGTAATGTCTACCCAGTTAGGCATGACTTTACAATTAATATCGGTCTTTCTCATGATAAAATGTGTATCGCAACTGTATAATATACATATTCTATACCATGAAACATTTTACATAACAATTTATATTGTCATAATTAGGAATGGTATTCATCGAGATCACAGGTCACGTTCTCGTAGTCCTAGACGTTACCACGATAATTACAATAGGCGACCGCGCTCTAAAAGTCCAGACTATAAGAGGCGTGATCAAGAAAGGTGACTTAAACTATTATCCACTTAGCTACACTTTGGATCAATTTTGATTCAAAAATTGAATAAGTATTCTGCCTTACGCTTAATAGATCGACCCAACGAAATTACAATCGTCGGCAAAACAATCTCTTCCAAAATAACGATAAGAATCCTCAAACTAAAAAGTATGTCAAGTACCTGCAAATTAAAATTGTTATTGCTTATGAATATTATATGCGTATAAGCAATGTGCTTTAAAATTGATTTCGCCTTGTTTTTTCATTCGGAAACAGAAAATTATCAGCTGAAGAAATGCAAAAATTGAGGGAAGACATGATGTCGAATGCAAAGTAATTTCTCGCTATCCAATTATTTTTCATTGATAGATGCAATTATTATACTGATTTGTCGATTTTTATCATTACAGATGGAGAGATGAGCAAAGGGAGTCGAATGTAAAAAAGTATAAGGTAGTTTATTTTCAACCTCGGGGAGAAATTACTAGAGCATGAATACCTAAAAATTTATTCTTGACTATGATAAAAGGTATTCAATTATGTTGAATTTACTAATGAGAAAACTTGTTATTCAATCAAAATTAGATTGCGGATGACGAAGAAAAGAACGACAATGGACCAAAAGATGCAGCATTTATTAGGTATTCGAATTATACTATTTTTATATTATCTGTGAATAAATGTAAAGCAGGATTATGATTTAGTGTCTGACACACGTTTGGGTATTGATTTACAAACTGTATATTAGATCGATGAAGATTGACTCATATTCGTCGTCATCAACATCTTCAGTCCAAGATCGAATTCGTCGCAACATTTATTCTGTGCAACGAACTGGGTCGTCTAAAGACAACTTCTTATCTCGATGATAAACTTAAGCTATTGAGTGAAATATGAACAGTAAAATTATTTTTAAAGTAATTCTCAGTTTTAGCGAAATTATTGAATTGTAAGTAAGCATCTTTAATTTTTAGAACTGTCACGAGCGTCAGTAAGAATTGTAAATACTACGATTTACTAACATAGCCCTGTAATATAATAGTACACAAGAGTACAAAACTGATTTTATGAGTAATTTTCAGTTACTTTGAGCATCTGACTAGATTTTGATAAATAATTCTCAATAATCATTCAAAATACACGTAATTCAATTAAAAATGCTGTATGTATATTTAGGAAATAGGACATTTGTTTTAAATTTGTTTAATCGTAACTCTTAAACGTAGGTATATGGGTACAAAAATTATCATTTCTTTCGAAAGACACGCCGAATTATGCATTAATTATAATTAACGAAGGTGGCTACGCATCTTTGAATTACGTGCCAAACGATTAATGTTGTAAACGACTATGTAGGGCTGTTAAGTCTGATCAAAAATTCAAGGCTACTTACTGAAGCCTTCACTAATACCTATATTGTATAACTTACAGTAGATCATAATTAATTAATTTATTTATTTGTAAAGTTTGACATTAGGTTATGGTGTCTCAAGTTTAAAATTAAAAAAATATTGAACTTACATATTCACGGTGTACATTTCCGTCTGTTTAATCATGCTAGAGAAGTCAACCTGTATGAAGTTTTACCGTATGACTGTAACAAAAGATAGGGCCTGCTAAATCGTGTATTATGCGTCAAAACACCTAACACCAATAACAGATTATATTCGTATAAACCAAGTTTTATTCCATAACATTTTTTCAAGAACTAATTGACTTACGTTCAGATACAATATAATTAATAATAATAAAAGGAATATACCATATGAATTCTAACTAAGAGTAATAATATTTCGTCCTATTACATAATGTTTCTAATACACATTCTGTAATGTAGTAAATCATGACACCTTACTAAATATTGGATTACATGGTAAAAATTAAGAAAATTAATTCAGTACTATAGTAGTAGACATGAGCTATCACATATGTCATAAATATACTTATTGTAAGCACGGTTTTCCGCAGAACTTGTTCGTACTGACAACATGTGCAACTACATTAATGAGATTGATCATTTAGTTTGTAAATGTAAAGACTTACATATGTAAATTTATAAAATAAGTGAAGTCTTTTGACCGTATCACGTTATTGATACATTTATTGCACTAGTGTCAATAAAATTTCATTAAGCATTGCTGCCAGTAAATTCAAGTTTTATAGAATCTTTAATATTTTTACTTAATCACATTCTTCGTTATTCCCTATTATATAGTTTAATTGGTATAGCATCATTGTAATGTCTAAGCACATTCTTTAATGTCTATAACAATGAAACTGATTCATTAGGGTAAAATTACTACAATACATTCTCGTCATATAATACTACGACCAGCGTCCAGTCTCATCTAGTCAATATTCTGCTTCTCACTGGCACTAACTGGATTCAAGTTAGTTGTCGCCATTTTGGCTTCTATTTGCGAAACTGATACATTACTTGAAGGTTGTCCTACCTCACCAACGAAAGACATCCCATTATTTTCCGCAGGCGACACCTTAGCAGTGACAGTGGACTGCTGCGATATCGGGATTGTTGCAGGAGAGGTGGCGCCACCTCTAGAAATAAGACCTGCACTAGTTGAAACAATCTGAGATCCAGCCGAATATTGAGCGCCAGTAGTCTGAACAGAAGTAGGGGCCCTATCAATTGCTGAAATATTACTGAGCGGAACCGCACTTTGAGAAACGTTTGTAAACTGATCACCAAGACTACTACTAGGTGACCCTAATTCACCTACTGGTGATGCAGTAGGTATTCCGCCTTCAAATTTTGCTGGGGTCATGGTATTTGTGGGTAGTGTAGCTACCGAAGAAACACTAGTAGGTGTAACACTATCACTTACAGAACCATGGGATATTAGTGGCGCTGCTCCAGTATAAGACGTAGGCAAGTTTTGCGATTGAGGTAATGGAGATACTGGTAGTTGCTGTGTGTATTGTTGCGATGCGATAGGAAAGTTAACATTTGCACCTGCTGCAGTAGGGATGCTAGGTAACTGTTGCTGTAACTGTAGATTTGGAGTAGGAATTTGTTGCTGTAGTTGACCGGGTACAGCCTGTCGTTGTTGTTGTGCAAGTAGCTGCTGCGCCTGCAAATATTGCTGTTGTTGCATTTGTAATAATAATTGTTGCTGTTGTTGTTGTAGTTGAATTTGTTCAGGGGTCAGTGATGCTGTATTTGGCAGCTGTGGCGATGCTAGTAATGAAACATATTAAGTTAATCGTTAGTTTGCAATAGTCGTAACTACCCAATAGTCGTCAAGTTGTTTCCACTAGTTATAATTTTACTCACGAAAATTCTGTTGGCCAACAAATTGTTGATTCATGACGTTGGGGGAATACTGTAGCAGTAAGAATAGAATTAAATACATCTGAAATAAAAAACTAAGTAAAAAAACAAATAAAATACTTAGAGATTTGATACCTCGATTGGCATTTGATCAGATTTAGAGGTAACATTGGAGCTAGCAGACTGAGGCTTGGAAGGAATACGATGCAAATAACCATATCCAATACCGCAACCAAGGCTACATGTATGCGATTGAGTATTTAGAAAAATAAATTTCTTTTTAGACTAGGGCAAGAATTATATATTAATCGTCCAAATATGTCACATGAAATATGCCGTACCTTCCACTTCCACCCCATTTTGAATTTGGTGTTACTATGACCTGAAGTTGATCATTATCATTAAAGAACAGTAGCATTACAATATTGGATGGATGGAAATTGTAGATATATCTTTAACTTTTAGAAGCAGTTACCTGTCTACAACTGTCGGTTTCTGTACTATAAACATACAGTCTGATTGGCTTACCATCGAAAGCTTCAATTAAATTGTACAAATCTCCCGCCTAAGCACATATGATATTGATCAAATACTTAACATTTGAGTTATCTAAGCGATCTTATTTTTGGTACTTTAAGTAAGTATCATCAACATCACGTCTACAGTTGATAATAAATTGTCCGAAACTGAACAATGACCTCTTGCAGCTGAGTGTCAGAACCAACGATATAATCAGTATGTTGTCGCAAGCCAGCTACAGCAGCAGGAGAATTTGGTTCTACATCCTAATTCAAGATTATATTGGTTAATTTACGATGAACGAGTAATACGTACTTTGCATAAAAAATGACTTTCAACTAACCAAAACGTGCCAAACATTTTCGTTTGCTCCTTCAAAAGAACAGAATCTGATACTAACTCCTAAATAATTAAGTTGAATTGATAAGAAACGATACTAATACATACAATGTATGCCACAGATTCTTAATTTGATCATATGAGACATCGTAAAATTCGCATCCATTACATTATTATGGTAGAAAAATTATGCTTTTAATAGTTAATTATAATAATACTGTACTAAAATACGAACATCTCATTTTACCTAGTAATCCTTGTCCTCCCCATAAAGCACTTGGTGTTATATTTGTAACTGAAAATCAAAAAATTTAAATATTTTACGATCTTCTTCTATTAAAGGAGTTATGTTATCAATACGTATAAATAGCTGACTTTGGATGATTTCTTTTAATTTTTATCCAATGTATCTTAAGCGTGTAGCAAGAATATCGATAGAGTAAAGATTGATAGACTGTTAATATGCTGGTCTACCCCTGAAATATATGACTAGTCTAGAGTGTAAATGTAATAGATGTAAAAATTTTCTTGATGATAATCTGAAACATTTAATAGCAAAGAAGAACAGTAGACTAGCTGTCGTAATTAATCATATCAGTTTTTAATGGCTAATACGTACATAAAATGAGTCATTTTACAATTATGATTCTACATTTCTTCAACAATGATGTTTAAATGGATACATAATTTACCTCTAGTGCCTTGGGTTTTGCTACTATAAACAATAATTTCGACTGACTTTTCACAGCTTGCTTGTAAAATTTCCTTTAACTCATCATTGTCTTGGTTCTATACATATCGAAACGTTACGCTTCAGATAAGTTCATCAATAAGTAATTAAAAGTTCTCGGTGATGATAGCGATTATTCTTCATATACTTAAAGCGCTGGCAGTATCCGTAGCTGATTCATTATAATTATTTATTGCTAAAAATTGAAGCTGTTGCAAACTTTGTATACTTTCTCCTTTACGATTTAGTAACAGTACAGTAGAAACTGAGCACTTTTACATATGCGTATTATTACACAGTATAGTATTAAGCATAAGCTACAGTACTGCTTCAAGGATTGATTGTAAATTATAGTATGACATTATGATCGAACCAGGTATAAGAAAGTAAATATTCGTCGAGTCAATAAAGTTCAATAACATACTAATCTGACACCATTAATTTGAAGAATAAAATCGAAGAAAGGTTCTAGTCCCGCTTTTTGGCCTGGAGAGCCTTCTTGTACCTATCCAATATTCAATATAGATGGTGTTAGTTATGGCTAGGCTGTAGTGTCATGTACTTATACCATAAAATAGAAAATCAATTGATATAACAGTAGAGCATGTGAATAGCACAATTATCTACTAAGCAACGATAATAAATACGCATATTGCGCGGTTATAAATTAGATTATTTATGTAATTCGACAATCCTACTAACTCCACAGTTATGCTATACATAAATGAATGTGCAGATAGTTAATATCGAGCATCCATGGCATAATCGAGTAGCCTAAGACAATAAATAGCGCAGACGATCAACAAGGTAGAGTATTGAACATTGACTAAGTCCAGTATGGTAGCGATTAATTATAGTGGCTACTGTACGTAGCGCATTGTACATTTACTACCAACATTATTCGGTGGCTCAAGTTTCTAAGCTAATATAGTCAAGCTCTATAGGAAGAAAGCAAGGAATCCTTTTAGAGCCAGACTGTCAAATTATTACGGCTCATGGTGGGTAATCGTCATTGTGATTTCTTATTCATTTCTAGTAATACTCTTCACTAGTACACAAAGCTTTTAAGTAATACTGTACTATAAAGGTGTAACGAAATGATCGGTCCTTCACGACTACTGTATATAGTACTATGAACGTCGACACTATCCAAGCAGAAACGGATTATATTGATTATCGTCCATCTCCAATTTGCAGTTTTTTTCCCCATGTATTAGTCTACACGTTTCTACATCGTATACGAGTATGGATTGAAAACTGTGTCTAAACTAATATACAAGTAGATTAATTGCAGTACAAGTTTCAAGTGGATATTCATTGAATTTCCATTGCTGGTGATCTACAGTACTGTAAGAGTGTATGAAAAGGAAGAGGACTGGTAAAAATAGTTCACTGGATTTTGTCTATTGCACTGAGTAACTCTACGCTAGTATTCTTGATCAAAGTATACTTAACAACCTTGAGGACATGATACCCTTCAGTTCCACCGTCTGATACCTCTACGGATTGCGATCCACCCATTGCTGCCGATTTTGCTACACAAATTGCTCTGGATTAGGAGTACATCCGCAGCAATCGTCTTCGTTTCACTGGCAGTGAAACAAGTAGCACAAGTTGTTCCCACTGGGGTGCTAGTGTGCTGCGCACCGGCAACCTCTTCTGTCTACAGTACAGTAATATTCTGCTGTACAGTACCATGGTAGTGCAGTACTGTAATACTACAGTACATATACTGTAGCACTGGATCCTGAACTGTCTTCAATCCTTTTGATTCTGCGCAGTGTGCAGTGTATTGCACACTTGCCCACGTTGGATAGAGCGTCTGTACAGTGTACGTCTGTATTACTCAATCACTGGTGACTTATTACAATACAGTACTATGGAGAAAGGAGTGAGTGAAAAGTACTGTACGGTAAACTACAGTACTGTACAGTATAGTGCGGTAGAAGAAGCTTGCACAGTAGAATTGTACTGTACTGTACTGTACGAGTGTACGTGGCTGGTTTGAAGTCGTTACATTACGACAAGACAGAGTACCCATACCAAAAAGTTGAGTATTACACTGTACTGTAGTGCTACAGTACATATACTGTAGGACTGGATCTGCAATTGTCTTCAATCCATTTGATTCTGCGCAGTGTACAGTACATAATAGTGCTGTAGAGGAAGCTTGTACAGTACAGTACGTGGCTGGTTTGAAGTTATTACATTACGACAAGACAGAGGACCAATACCAAAAAGTTGAGTATTAGTACAGTAGGACTCGCTACGAGTGATCGAGTGACGATCATGCAGTATTGTTACGGTTCAAGAACTGAAGAACTGGAACTGTACACGTCATCTCTTCGCTTCAATCGCCAGCAGGCGAGGCATAAAGTAAGTGGACACCAGGACAGTACAGTACAGTACTGTACAGTACTATACTTACAGTATGTACTGTATTTACTGTAGGGCTGGAGTACTAGGTACTGTATTCTATAGTAGTACTCCATCAATAAAAGCCACAACGCTGCCGCGTCAATCAACAGCATCGACAGATACCAAATTTGTTCGAATTCGGTCTTCAAATTGTGTTTTCATATAATTTCAATGATGAGCTACCCTGTACTGTACAACTTGCTAGTAGGGTAATCATCCATGATCGCTATTAACAGATACTGTACATCGACTTACTGAAGGCACAATATTGCATAGTTTACCGTGCGATTTACTATTCAGAATCGAAATTAATTTTGTACATGTTATGTATAAAAATGGAACGATAACGGGTAAAAGTAGGCCTTCAAGCGTTCCTGCGTTTGGAATAGCCTAAAATATTGGATAAATATCCGTATACAGTACTTTACGTACAGGATGCACTAGTAGATGAAATGCATCGTAGTTGACCAGTTTTATCCACTAGTGGAATAATCTACGATACAACAGCTGTTATGGGTAGAACTTTCAGTAAAATTAAGCCTTTTCTCCTAGCCTTTTTTGGGGGATGGATGGCCGGCCCATTACAGACAGACATTCTTCGTGACATTAAAGCGACTTTCATAGAATCAGAGAAGTTCAAAGTGAATGGCATCACGTGCGGCGTGTGTTGCTAAGATACCTACGTACACAAGCTAATAAGGAAGATTACATGACTATGTTATTTATAGGAGTACAAGAGTAATCGCAGGTTGTTAATAGTATTTACAATATCCTTGTTGAGCATTACTTTATATAGCTTTTACTGCGATTTGTGTTAACTCAATTGCAATAGTCACCGAAATCTTGGTGTTTCCGTAATCGTTCCAACGATCGACTTGCAATCTAGCAAAAGGCGATCGATAGCCATATCAAATTCTATTTAAACGAGTTGTACATGCTCTACATTAGATAGCATAAGCCGAATTTGCTAAAATATTATCAGCAATATACCTTCTTCACTCAAGTAATGCCTTCCTTCTTTAAAGATTTCCAAGGACAAGGTAAGTTGTAATACAATCGAACATACCCAATCTGGCATTTTACCTTAACTACCAAATTGTATTTTATCGCATGATCAATCTATCCTCTAGCACCTTAACTTTACATCTATTCTCATGGATATACGAATTTTTGATTGCTTTCTGTGTCTACATTGTCGCTAGACTTACTTTTAGTGATATTACAACGCGCTGTTAGCTCCTTAATTAAAGGTTTACCTGGCACATTTACTGCGATATTCACCAAAAAAATTAAAAACTGAAAGTTACCGACGATGTCGATTTCACCGTAACTGTATATCTGTAGTCTATACATAGTTAAAGAAAATTTTGGGTCGTTGTTGTTAAGTGAATAAATCTCATTTTATAGAACGCATCGAGTTAGCTAATACGATTCCATTTCTGTGATATCTTTTATAGTATAACTTACTCTACGCTGATACCGTCCATTTGCCTAACTCGCTGCATGAATACTGTGCATATTCTAGTAAAATAGCATAATCAAGTAAATTTTATAGTATTCTGTAATAAGGCATAGAAAATTAAAAAACTGATTATTAATAATTTTAAATAATGGAAAGAACTATACTTTCTTGGCAATAATACGTCTTCCTAAAGAGAACACTCAATTGTTTCAATACTGCAGTAATATCAACAATAAGCAAGTAATAGTAAGGCTTACAATAGATCGAAACAAGTATTAACACGGTCTTAAACACTTAGATACCAGACGATACTTAAGAATTGACTAATAAATCGGAACAGCATGAGTTCTACTCAGTTCTTGGCTATTTTCCCCAAATTTTGCTATTAGCAATATACATAGCTTATAAGATAAAACAGGAAATTAGAATTAGATAGTTAAAAGCGTCATTATCTTTATTAGATAATTAACAAATTAACTGCTTATCACTTTACTAGATTGGTTCTATCATGCTCCAAATAAAAAATTAGATTCTGAAGAGAAAAATGCTCAAATGCCAGTTCTTTCTCAAGTGCCGGGACTAAGTGACGTCGCTGGCGAAGATAGCGATCCATTCGCAAAATCTAAAAAAGGATGGATCAGGGACACTGATTCTCGTTATATTCAAATGGCAAAGCAAGGGGGTCGCAAAGATTTACTGATGTTCAATGTTCCTCATACTATTTCGAAAGATCCCATAGCATATCCCAGAGTTGATTGGTTTGATCATCAACAACCCGATATTGAAATAAGACAACCGTTAGTAAAATAATAAATTTTACCCGTACAATAAAATAAGCAATGCATGCTGCAAGTATATGCAATAGTTTAAAATGAGGTGCCTTATTAAATGAAGAAATTTTATTCTCTTGGCAGGAGACGCCATGAACCAGATCGAGATATTTATGGGGAGTATCTTACATTAAATAAAAAAACAGCACCAGCAGGTGTTATAACAAATCAAGGATCCAAAGGCAAGGACTTATTTGATAAACCTCCTCCATTTTCTTTAGACGATGATTTATCATATTGGCAAAGGTAATTCTTCTTACTCCTTTAAATTATGTATTAACTACAAGGGATAATGGGCTAATTTAGCTCAATTTATCCTAGAATTAGATCGTGTTATATATTATGTGATAATGAAATAATTAAGATAACATCAGAAAATGCGATACGATATGTAGGAAAAAAACAGAGAAATCAGAAAAGCAAGAAAAACCAAAACAGATTGACAGATTTAAATTACCTCCGTTAAAATCCAACAAGGAATCACTCGTTAATGGAGATGCTGCCAACAACGTCCAAAAAACAAAAGGGTAAGCCAGCAGCTTACATGGTGTAGTTTCACATACCTTTTTATGCTACATTAGTTAACGATAAATATACTTTAAAGTTGTTAAAGTGCATATTTATTTATCTATGCGTTACCTAAAAGTGTATTACTTCTATTCAAGGAAAAAGAATGGCGAAAACGTAAATTTTAATTATTTAATGTCAATGGGATATCAAAAGGATTGGTTTGATGAAAAAGAGCGAAAAGATAAAGAGGATGATGATAAAAAAGTGAGAAAGCGATTGAAATGATGTTAATAATTCTTCTAAAGTCAATACCGTAGTTTCCAACGTATTTAGTATCGTATGAGGCTAGCATAAATTACTTAGTTCAACTATTTTTTATTCGAACCGTAGAGAAAGCAGCAGACACTATTAAAGGAAAAAGTGAGGCAAGGCATGAAACCAAGGTGGGTAATTATTGGCATCAAGTGGATGTCGTCTTTACTTCATAATTGATACAATACTCCTAGATATCTTACATAATATGTCTAAAATAAGCTATAATTTATCATATACTATCTGCAGAAATCCTCAAACGTATACCGATAAGGTAGAAAATAAAGACCAATTTAAATTAAGTAAGTTTAAAAATGTAAACTCTAAGATTAACACACGCTGGTCGGAAAGGCAATAAGAAGAATTCGATTTATTTCCATAAATAAATGACTGTAAATTAAATAAATTACGTTTTTGCTTTTCGTATTGAATACTTTGATTATCGCCTCAATGTATTATATTGAAATATTAAGTAATAAATTTGTAATTTTACCTTTTAATAAATATTACTTTAGCATATATATCGATATTGATGTATCTGATCGCCGTAATGAAAGTAGAATGTGAAATTTAATGTAGAATTTCTTTGTTTTATTGCTCCTTAAATTTTTGTACTAACAATTAACTAGAAAATTGTTCCATCACTAAATATATCATAATAATAAGAAACAAATCGTCATTACTGTCAAGGCGCTACACATTTAATGCTGACCTCATAATTAGTAATCATATTCATAAACTCTGTCAAAGCTTTATTCTGTCCTTACGATATATTAAGAATTTGTACAGTTTCAATTAAATTAGCTCCAAACCTATTATATACAATATTCCTTGTATTAGAATGATATCATCTTTTCTTCTTCGAATCATACTAAGCAATCTACAATCTTATTAAAATCGATCGTTTTGATCGTTCTATTGGAATCGCTTTACGCGTGTTATTGTAATTTGATTAATATTTTCAGCTAGAATATTGTGTAATAAAGCGAATATCGACGAATAAATTCCCGAATTTATAATTATAAATGATCTTCATTAACTGCTAACGCTCAAATTAAATTAATTTTTACAATAATATATGGCAATCAGATTTAGTTCAGATAACGGCGCAATCAGGGATAGCCAACTCTTAACTATATATACTATAGTACCAGTAAACAGAATAGTAACTACGTATTGTGCTGAAGCTAGCAGGATGAAGAACTGATTTGTATCATGTAAATTATTGACTACTTTGATGAATACTGATACAGTTTTAGATTTTGAGATTTAAACAATACTAGTAGTTTATAAAATAATGTATTTAATTACCACTTGAAATCGTGGCTAATCACTTCCAGACTTAATCATAAATCATATTAATGTGAATGAGTCCATTTTGGATTGGTGCAATCACGTAATTATAATTGTAATCAACTAATACACTGCAAAGTATTATGAGCTTATTCCAGCTTTCATACAATTACTATCATCAATTAACTTCAGCTAGCGTAATTATTAAAGTAAGGGGTAGTAAATTCTAACATGACATAGAAGTAAGTAGTAATCTACTGACGATTCTTATATACTCTGTTGGTTTAAGGTTAAAGTTATAGAGCAATAACCAAAAAATTATGTTCCATGCTACATGGTAGCCACTTTGCTACTCTCCATGTTAAGTTATTAGAAAGATCTTTGTTAGCCGAGTTCGAGATATTTAGGCGAAATAATCCAACTCTTCATAAAGAAATAAATCTACAATACTACTACTATAACCATTTAAATTATATGATAATCATAATTGTTACCCTGTAAGCTATGTCTCTAAAAATAGAGTTCAGAACTATTTATAAATGTTAAACCATATCTTTAGTTTCTGGAAATGATGCTATAAATGTTTGAACATATAGATTAACTTTGTATTATTGCAGCCGCCAGTGACGACTACTTCTTAGTCTACTAATTTGAAATCCTATTACAGCAAATGTCATACGGATATACAATATAAATTGTATATTTTATTCATTACGATAACTCCTGCGGTGTGCTGCTAAATCGTGTTCAAGTATAACTACGCGTATAAGCAATCGTATAGAACTGATTACTTTCTTATTGTGAGATCATACGATTTAATACCTAGACTAATGCTACGCATGCAGGTACTACGATCGTATAGAAAGTATTAAGATTAATGTCTAGAGATGGAATGTTTTGAAATTCAAATATATGTAAGGGTTCATACGTGCGTCACTATGGGAACGGAACGGCTTAACAAAGCTGGCGGTAGGACTTCAAATCGTAATACTGTTTCTCGCCACTAGAACTTACTTGCTATAAGATCATTAACTGTAGAAAGGAAAACCATCTTACTTTACGTTCTTACCGTAGAATACAACATGTCTCTTTTCAAGGCGCGAGATTGGTGGTCGACGACCGCTGGTGATAACGAAGAATATGATACCGGTTGCCTATGCGTTGCCAATATTGATAATAGTCCCGATAATGTCGGTAAGAACTTTGATGGATATTCTTTCTATTTTAAACACAGAATTATTCCTATAAAAGTGACATCAAACGTTCAATTGTAACACGCGTATAATTCAGTCACTCACAGAGTAAACTTATAGACTTGTAGTAATTATACTACTATACAGTTTATCAAATTGATTACGCCTTGATGGATAAAGCATAATTTACTAGCTAAAATAACAACAACTATCCATGATAACACCATTTGTAATTTATTTTATGCAATGTTAAAGAGACTTTTCTTTACTGATAGTACGATCTATTTCTGACAGTTAGTGAATTTTGTTCATTGCCCCATTAGATATGGTATAACGTAATGTATACTTTACTATGCAGTGTAATTTATCATACAAAATACATACCAATTTGTAAATTTTAATTGATGAGCTATAAGGACGTCAGAGGCAAATCAACGATAAAATCGACACATTAATAGATATTAATTAAGGATAAGCTTTAGCGAAGACAAGTTTCATCCTTTGACATTGCTTTTACTCGATAAAAACATACCGTACACGATAAAATAGGTATGTCGCGATATAAATAAGAAACTTTTGCAGTCTAAATACGTTCAGAGAAAGATACCTTCTATGATATCTAGTAAAAATTTAGCATGAAGATGAATTTAATTCTGTAGTAAGACGAAAGCCATTAAAATCGGACAAGTAAATGACGCTAGCGATCAAATAAATCTCATGGAGAATTTATAAAATATAAGAAAGAAAATTGAAAGTATTTCCAAAACGGGTCGGAGTTGGGTCTCGCAATTCTACGTACTGTTGTTATGAATTAGCCACCATCATATCTTGAAATATGTTACTAGTTATACACAATACCATAGAATGCCTATAGTATCATATATTTATTATATTGAACTATTCATATGTCTATTACATCCTCGATTCTACAGATTACATTGTTATGTACGATTTACTTTTTTCACTTCAAATGTCCTTACGATATTGAAGAAACATTATCATCTGGATTGATAATTCGAACTAACGAACTGTGTACAGCATTGACAAGTACAATCTCATAACCCGTTTATCGACACAAAATAGAGATCTTTTTTCTCTCTATATTCGCATCATCAACTAAGAATATTGTATAACTGATTCTGCAATTCGTGGAACACAAATTTATGTCACACATACCACTATTTTATTTATTTTACTTTTTGACATTCTCATCGTAAATATAGTACACTAGTTATTCAGCTAGTTCATATCTTGTTGATTATGTTATTATAGATGTTCTATTAACCAGGAACTTCACTAAAAAAACAACAGCAACAATATTAATTGAATAGATTAAAAAGTATTAATTTTGGCTAAATAACAAAATGGCTAAATTGACTCCTGTCCAGACAGAGAACCAGAAACAAATTTAAAAGAAAAATAGTAATAAATTTATTTAGATTTTAACAGTTTTAAGATTAAGAATGACTTTAGAGATACTTTACACTGATCATGTCCATCTCTATTCTAGAGGAATTGACATTAAACATATATTATTATGATATGTAGATAGTTAAATTCAACCTTTAATCTTGTTGATATTTTTACGGTCATCTAACATCGGTAAGTTAAAGCATGGATGGAAGTAATTAATCTAATCTCCAAAGAGTCATGAATGCTTAAAATGAATTTCGTTTTTTCCCTTGGTGTAAAGTATCATCAACGTAGTCAAATATGAAACTTTAAGATTTAGATAGGCGACCTTTAGACCAATGCATAACCAATCGAAATAATGAAAATATCCGTATAATGCATAATAGTATTGTTAGTAATGTTAGTATTATTTATCAACGTTGAAAGTAAATCAGGCATTTTTATTCACTTCGTGATTCGATAGCGATAAATAATTAGAATTTGATCTAATTCGATAATAGAAATGTTAGATACAGGAGAATCAAACATGATGCGACAATATGCAGTAGATTTATATTCAGTTAACTTATTACCGTTCTCAATGAATAAAGCCAATTAAGAGTCTCCAAAATAATTAGATTTTTCCGAAATAAAATCTCAAAGCATAATATTAATTTCTGTTGGAAATTGTAGATAAAGTTATTGTCGGAAGTTACTTTGGAATTTTAAGAATCTACTCACCCCAGCCGCCGAAATATCATCCGGAAGATTTAATGTTAGAATATCAATTGCAACAACCAATACTACAGTTAGAGGCTGGTAAATTCGTCTCGTAAGTAATGGTTTATAAATTAAATTGAGCATTATTTATTTCTTTTATTCGATCTAGATTTGTGTTAATATCGACAGTTTTTTAAATCGGATATACCGTATGATTTAAACGTTAGCTATGTCTTGAATATAGTTGATATATGTAGAATACGAAATTATTGTGGTATTAAGTAAACTTGGGAGAGTAATTTTATTAAATTATTCCTTTAGTGAGTCAGATGCCCTATATTTAGCTATTCTTCATCCTAGAAAGCTATCTATTTATTCCATAACCGGTAAGTAGCTGGATGTATTTCGATTCTTTCTCTATCATATTTCCTTATAATATACTCGTATTCTACTATCTTATACTGAAAATGATCAAAGGTATTGAGTTGTTCTCAATAACATGGTAATATTACTTATTCATCTTTCAACAGCTATTACTGGCTCAGTTGAACATGGTAGTCAGTATGCCGTCAAATTAGCTTATGAACATTTACTAGAGAGAACATCATGTAACTTTGTTGTTGGTTCCTTTGGAGGCGTAAAAGGTAGAGTAGGATCAATTTAGATTGAAATCGTAAAATTTTAATCACCTTTGACTTTTTGTTTCTTCGAGATTACTTAAGATAGTGTAGTTCTAACATTGATCTTAACTGCTGAATATCTCCCTTCTCCTATGAGGAAAGGCACGTTTATTAACTGGATTTATATTTGATAGGAAAAGATTTCTTTTGCGTTCAGTCGATGGATGGAATGGTGTCATTTTTTGAACAAGAATCATTTGCATTCGGCCGTTTCCTACCAGGATTCTTGCTTCCAGGCCCGTTGAAATATATACCAAAATCTGATTCATTTGTGACATGTTCCACTTCGAGATCAGTTGAATGTTACAAGTACGTCGATTTAGCCTAAAAGATGCAAATTATCATTTTGGCTCTACAATATTTCTATATTGATATCGTTATACATCTTATGGATATATTAGCTATAATTATGTGGTTTTAGATGAAGACCTTGAGATTGATGTACTATGTACACTTTTCTTTTAGATATCAATCTTTAGCACAAGCATCCGAAGGTAGAGAATCGACTAAACTCAGCGATAAAGTATCTGGAAAAAGATTAACGGTAAGAGTATAAGAATTAAGTAGTAATTATGGCATGAACTTTAATTTAGCATAATTAACAAGTCTTTTCTCTGTTTTATTTCTCTATGATGGATGTTAACCATAGTCTGATTGGTCCGTCAATATTGGAGAATGTGCCAAAGAAATCTATATGGTCAGTTTCCAGAATGCTCCATCGTCTATCTTCGTCTTAGGTATAACTTCATAATTTCAAAAGGTTATTTCGGCAGCCCACATCCATTCAGTGCTTACATCAATTCATCAGTTATTTTTACAATAATTTACTACTTAGCTAACATACTGTCTCATTCGTGTTTATTTCTTTTAGTATATGATAGATACAATAAAATTTATTTCCTATAGGTGAACGATCGATATTCTGCTTGAGAGAAAATGGAAACGTTCGTTTTATGAAGAAACTAGAATATGATCCTAGCACATTTTACCCTTATGGCAGTAGTAAGACATCTTTACAATTATGAGACAATGCTTTCTATTAAATTTTAGCGTTATTATTAATCTCCAACTACTTTACTCACTTAATTTCATTTAGCGCCTGATGGTGGGATTCTTTACATGATCGCTACTCATACCGATACATTACTTGTATATAAGGATATTACGTTATGTTGGGCTGCCCAAATGCCCTCTATGCCGGTTGCTTTACGCGCTGCAGAGCTCAAGTTAGTCTTTATACTCTTAAACATGGATATTTTTTGCCGTTTGCTAGAGATTTTTAATCATATAATGATGCCTGAGTGCGTTATTTCTATGCAGAGATTTAAAAGGACTCATTATCTCATTGGATCAAAACGGAAGAATTCAGGCTTCCTATCTTGGAACAGATCCTTCCATGTTTATAGCACCTCCAACAGAGTCAAGAGAAATTAATTACGAGGTTTAATATATATTCTAATTACGTACATAGATCAAAATTGGCTACCATTGCAGGCGATACATTAGAAATACAAAATGTGCAAAGCACAGACCTTAAAGTAATAGATCACCATTCAATTGATGACTTTCTTGTTTACTCTAAGGAATTGGATAAAGAAATGAAGGAATTACAAAAGTTAATCAAGGAATCATCTGTTAGCTCCAGTAAGTTTGTTTTGAAAAGTGATTCTATATTTCAATGATTATCGAGAAGTATAAGCGTAATTCGTATCGAGAACGAGAATTAGTCACAATTTTAAGGCTTAAACGATTTTATTTGTAGTCGGTTTTAATATTGCATATTGTTGTTATACTAGATTTATTCCAAAATGAAGAAAGTATTACAATGCAAGTACACATTCCACCTCAATTGGATCAAACTTCGGTAAATTTTAGACTATAATTTTAGCTGATTTAAGTATACGAATTCAAGTAGAAAATTGCTTAATGATTCTTTATTTAATATGTAGATTATCGATGGAAATAAGAAAGATGAAGACGTTCCATCTTTAACGATTAAGGTAATAGGAATTTCTCTAAGAATTGAAATTTTTTACCGTTAATTAGTTTTAGAGTTATTTAAGGAAGCCACTGGTAATTTATGAAAGCTTTTTCAATTGGTTTCCTTTAGGTTTCTTTTAAATCATCATCAACATTTAATAATGTTGTTGTCACCGCTCATACAGAGAAACCTTTAACAGTGAATCAACATACTAGAAAGATCAGTTTAGGTAACTAGCAATATAGAGTTGATTGGAAATTCGTGAAAATTGTAACTAAAATTGCTTCCAGATTTAGTTGAAAAATATTTAATGCATGATTTCTAATCGGAAAAAGATCCAGAAAGTTATACCAGGCCAATGGGAATCACCTATTACGTGGATAATAGCGATAGTATGTTACCTATAAATTTAACTACGTGGATATCAGGCAGTTACGTTACCAGTCAAGGAGCACCCAAAACTGTCCAGCAACAAGTTAATTTACCCATGAAGATGTACTGCAAGCCTTGCCAACCAGTTAAAGTAGCTACTCATAAGGTAATAAACAGTAATATCGACTTTTTATCCATTTTGATAATTGATTTATAACAGTCTATAACTGATCGCTCTACATAATCTCTATCAGATTACTATTGACACAAACAGAAACCCCGTTAATTTGTATGATATATTTCCCGGTAAGCTTCGATTTTTAATCCTATCGTGACAATTTGGAATGTAACTTATTTCGTATAGGATAAACTAATTTACACGTTTGAATTCCTAGAATATGGAGAATCTAAAGGTCCTGGCAATGCCATCGGCTTTCAATATTATAATGGACCAAAAGTTACTCTATTAGCTTCCAAAACTTCGCGTGAGTACATTAGAACAGAAGAATAACCTTCAATATCGAGAGAGTTACTATCACTAACTATCCTATGATTTTATGCTTTCAGAGCGTTATCGATTGCAGTCTGATAATTTCGAAGCGTTAGCATTAGTTACAAGGCAGTTTGTTGAACGTATGAAAGCCAATTTTGCCAACGATAAAGTGAGTAATGGATGTAAATAACTAATAATGTCGACAGTAGTTATATCTTGCGATTAGGTTAATAATGACTATCATATTCTCTACTTTCTATCATTTAGAATCCTGACAAGTTCAAGGTTTCTTTCACGGGTTCTTTACCACTGCATGAATTTTTTGAGTTGATTGATGCGCATTTTAATGTAAGCCGCAAGTGTAAATTATACTGTATGATACTCTGTATACTTTATTCTATTTCAGTTTTGCTTGATTAAATAAACTGATTAATATACTAGAGTTATCCTCTTCACATTTCATTATTAAATCGAAATAGAGAAAAGTAATGATGTTAAGATATTACGTATATGCTGAAATCTTAACCTAAACTTTAGTCATTGTGACCAACAACAATATATTATAGGAACTTCATAGCTTAATCTTGATCACAGGGTAACTATACTTTGGTGCGCATTTGTTCCAATTACAGATTCGTTTAGAACAAGAAGAATTGCATGAAAAAGTTCAGCAAGAAGCAGAGCAGTACAGAGCCATTCAAAGGCGACTTTTAACTCGTTTTAAGGATAAAACTCCATCTCCGTTATTGAACCTGGATGTAATTTTGGATAGTACACATGCTACGGTATGTTAAAGATCTTGATAAAGCTCTGATAGACGAATGATTGTAAAAAAATGTATTCAGTATTTCCCGGCATAGAAAATAAATCTTTCTGATTGATGCCATTATAGATTATGGAATTAGCCGATAAAATTAAAAAGACTGAGGAAGCATTATCTAGAGCAGCTAATGCTTTGTCCTGCGGTACTAGTCTTCTCCTACTATTATTAAGGTATTGCAACCTTGTTCAGTTATTCATTACCAACTCAATGGCGATCTATACCTTTTCCAGATGTCAATTAATATTCCTATTTTACTAAAAATAATCTTTTATTTGCAAGGCTAAATATGAACCTGAATGACAGTGAATTTCGTATACTTGAAGCCACGTTATCACCGATAGTAATTGACTTACGAGATCAGGTAATTAACTGCATTTTAATCTTGTTAGTAGTTACTTGACAGAAAATTGGCCATCTATAACCATTACTACTACTTCTCTAGGGTTGGGAAGAATTAACTGATGCTGCAATTACTCATTTACTACGGACGTGCTTAGCTAAGTCAGCGAAAGATCAAGCAGGTGATAAATTTTATTCGATTTTTCCTAATTCACTGAAGACCATATTCAATTATTATTTTGCACTTATTAGATCTGGAGCTATCGTTATTTATATTACAATCGCATACTTTAATGAATAATCTCTCGCTTTTATTACTGTGTAGTCAACTTGCCTCCTCTTAAGATCCCTTCTGATACTCAAAAACTAAAGAAACATATAGCTATGATGTGTGATCGGCTGACTAAAGGGGGCAAATTAGCATTCGAAAGTAACGATGTTACAACAAATGGACTACCGGAGGTTGTTGTATCTGATCCTAAACAAATACTTGATGATTACCCATCGAAAGAAACATTTAAAGCAGGTATTATTCTAGCCTGATAAGATTAAAAGGATGATAGAACAAATTTCTATTCGTGCGTACTTGAAGAGTTTTCTACACATAGTAAAAGTTTTTCTTGATGAGCAACTTCTTTACTAATTTTGTAAAATAAATTGTCTTGAACGACTGCGGCTGATTGATTTCTTGTCTAAATCTTAATCATTGTCAATTTAATTGGATAGATTTACCATCAGCTCCAGCTGAAACCAATGGTAGTCATGACCTTTCTACAAGTTCCACTGTTAGTGGTAAGAGCCTTCCACCTATGTATGAATCAGAACATCGAGATAGTGTATTACCTCCTTTGAGTACGAGCAATGGCATACGAAATCTAGATCTGGATCCACGACTTGCTAGTGCAATACAAGGAAGTGAAAGTTAAATTAAGCCTTTACCCAACCCGTTTAATCCTGTATATTTTTTGCTCTCATTTATCCCATAAATTTATTTCGTAGTTGATGAACATTTTTGTATAAAAATTGGCTTCATCCAAAAGTTTCCTTTCCAGCCTATGTTAAAATGAGAACTTTTGTAGCGCAGTACTTGTTGACGTTGTTCTTGAAAGTTGTTAAATCTATTGGACAGCACTTTTCCTTACCACACAAAATGGCTGAGTTCCTTACGGAATATTTCATTTAAACAATGACGATCTTTTAAAAAGTGTTTCAATTTCAATTTAAAGCTGTTGTTCTTGATATTGTAACATATTTTATGACTATCATGTTGATTGACTTAATTTAATCTGTAGTGCAAAACCTTTACAGTCCAATATTCTACCACGAATTATAAAGTCCTTCATGACTTAACTACATCAATATTTCAAATAGTAATTTTTACTACTATGGTACTATCTAACAGTAGGCCTTTAATAAGGTATCACTACTACTTTAATTATTAAAAATAGTATTAATGCTCTGGCTATGAATACAGCTCAGTATTGATAATGTTATCCAAAAAAACTGATCCGATCTTGCTCAAGTAACAACGTTATACTTAGAACCCGTGATGCCACTAATATCTATTAGATGTGTAAATATACCTAAATTATCTAAATTCACAGTAATAATTAATCAATCTTATCAACACCTTTGATAGCTTTATGATGTTGTCGGATTATATTAATGACTCATTTGCCTTAACAACAGTAAAAAGTACATTATTACTATGTGAAGTCCTGTTTATATGATCTTTCTGTAAGATGTAATGTATATGCATTTTCGATAAGGAGTTTAAATCTTATGATAAAGTAGGAGAGACTTTCTTGACTACTTTTTGTAATTGTTCGTTTTTAATCAACTGAAATACGTAATAAGATAGCAATCTAATTGGACTCAATTCCTGTGTTTTTCATAAAGGATCACGATTTTGTTCCTATATTAAAAATTTTCCAGTTTATTAATTTTAAACAAAAATTAAAATTCTGCTTAACGTGATATATGTAATTGCTAGCTGATATTATGTAGAATAAAGTATTTAGCTTGTAAGGCTATACCAATTATTTCATGTGGACAAAATTCATAAATTCTAAATATAGTATTACAACTGCAGCTCTGCTGTAACGGAACTAAATAAGCACATGTTAATGGATGCCGTTACTTTTATGACGTGCAAAAGACGTTATGTCAGCGCCTCCAGCGTAATTTATTGATACACATTAATTAATCTGCTATCGGAGCTGCGTTTACGAGCTGTCGTGCATGATGAGTTGGCTCTAACTACAAATCTATTAAAACCAAAGGAGTTTGTATGGGCTAGTTTAGAAGTCATGCTTACGGGGAGGATCAAATAAACTCTCTGAGCAGCAATTAACAACCAAAGAGGTTAAGGCCGCCATAACAATTTATTGTCAGCTTCATCACTTAATTACTAGCAATGGAGGTTAAAGGCTAACACTTGCTAATTAGCAAATTTATCGAATCGCAGATAAGATAATTGGCACAGGACAATAATTATTTGTACCTACTATTACCAAATATTAGTTTCGAAGTATACAATTGAAAGATACTAAAGTTATAAGCTACACACTACATAAACACGTCCAAACAGCTATGGTTATAATTCTTAAAGTGTAATAAAGTTACAAATTATCCGGCACGAAGTACATAGGAAAGACAGTCTGCAATATTTAAAGTTCACTGGATAATTTTTCTAAACGGTTCGTTGGGCACGATAGTGTTCACTTTATGTGGAAGTAACTTCAATTTCCTGAATTATGATTAGCGATTACTTCATAAAGCCCATTCACTCGTTGAGGAGGTGGTAATTTAGAAACCATGAACTTTAACCTGATCCTCGGATGCAATCTGGTGTTTTTTCAAGAAGCTTCGAATCTTGTTTCTCTGGTCTCCCTGAAACTGCAACACTAAGCCATACTCCGGATGCTCAACAACAGTGCCATTGCAAGCAAATTCCTATGATAATGTAGTATAAGGCAAGTTTAGGTATAATTTTAGTAGTACTCAATATAATTCGCATTGTCAATATTATGGTAAATACGAATTTTCTCTTTCAAACGAAGGGTAATAAATTGTAGGAATCGTGGGCAATAACGTCAGTCAAGTTTGCAAATAATGATTTAATGTTAGGAAATAGCAAGATTAATAAAAGACTCGTTAGGGTAACAAGATATTTACAAACTTGTTTTATTAATTTGCCCAAGTTGTATCCAGCACCGCAAAGGTATTTAGTATTAAGTTATGTTAATAAGGTGTAATTAAGAATTACAAGCAAAGAACAAATATTCTAAAGTAATAATTGTAGGGTAAAACGATGTCATCATTAGTCCATAGATCTGTTTACTAGAGCAGCATCAATAAATACATGTGAAAAAAAGATGGAAAGTTTGGGTTATTATTCTTGTAACAAATTACCTTCTTGCATACACGCGCAATCCTTTTCAAATCGAAATTATTCGAAATTCCTTGCACCGTGGTCAAAGTTTTCCGACCGTTACGTTGCTGAATTCTTATATGAATGACTCCTTCCTGGTGGCCTTCGTCCTCTCCTTTGAGAGCATCCGCAAACGGATCTACAAATGGATCATAGGAAAAAATGGAAACCTTCAAAAAGAGCATACATATGATGCTTGTAAGGTTTAAGAAAGGTTGTACAGTTAATAAATATGTGAAAGGCTGGATCGCTGCAATCACTGTTGTATGGATGGGCGAAATTAGGCCGAAAATTTAAGATGTAACCTGTGAATCCCTTAGTTTGAAAGATCAATCGGAGTTGATACAGTCCATCGACATACACTAAAGTATTGGTTGCTTGACAATCAACATCCTAGACGCTAGAGGGGAGATGTGCACGCAAATCTATTGCCAGTTGTTATAAGGAAAAACGTTTTCTACATGTTCACACGGAATTCCCTATAAGATGCTCAAGGAATCTCGTATGTACGTTGATAGTCAGCATTGAAAAAGGTCGCATCCCATACCGACTCCAGTTAGCTATACTGTACTAGACTTTAAGGGTCAGTCGATGTGATCGTTCTAATCCACACATCTACTATAGCAAGCCATTTTCAGCATTCCTTTCCTATGCCATCATAGTCATCCTTTCAGTGTACTGTACCAATACTTTCCAAGTTATTGCACTTACGACGATTTGTGTTTACAGAGCGATTGAAAACGAGTTATTTACTATGCTGTACTAAGCGTCAATACTTTCGGTCGTGATGAGTTCTTTTAACATGTCCTAAAAATAGCCGCTAGTCTATTCATCATGATCACAAAAAGTGGTACTGGACCGGCACGGCACGGCACGGTTATGAATTAAATGGTTTCGAAGGCGGTCAGTCAATTTTACGACGGTAGTGAGTGTGAGGAAATCCGCTTTCATTTAATTTATTTAATGGTTGCTTAATCCATGTTTATTAAGCTACTGCTTTTTTTAGTTATCGGGTCAGATGTGTGTTTGAAAGTTCTTCTTTGCAACTTTTTCAAGCTGTCTTGAACTACTTTCCGTTAGTACAACACGGGAACAATGCAGGGTCAATGATGGCGTTGTACTGTCCAAGATTATAGTCGAATTATCATGGGGCAGTGGTATATGCTAGTAACTGTAATGCCTGTATCGAGTGGTTGCCTATACCGTAGTAACAGCACTATTGTATTTTATTGCGTAGTACATATAGTACAGGGGTAAAATTACAATGGACTGTATAATAGATCGCCATAACAAACATGTCCGAAATGGTGACGATCTACTTAGGAGAAATTGTGGACTATCGTGAGAAAATTGGACGTAGATTTAAATAGACTTTTTTCCGATTAAGAGTGAATCCATTCCATCTTGATCATGTTATTATTGGGTTGCATGGATTGCTGTTGAAGACATTGAAAAGTGAAAGCTGACTTGTGGACAGAATATTTCGTTATTTACTGTTCAAAAGCAATCAATGTGAATTAGCGCCGATTGATTCGTTCCATTTATCAGATCTTAACCACTTGGTCCATAGCGCCCAAGTAATATTACAATCATTCTTTTCTTAAGCTATACTATACTGCCATGCTACTACAGCTAAAAATACATCACTCTACCCGGAATTTCAACGATTGAATTGGATCATGATATTGCGGCACGGTAGTCAAGCGACAAAAAAAAATGCAGAAATCCACTGATACTGTCTTACTACTGTGTAAACTAGTAGCCGTACAATCTTCACGAATCACGATATAAATTGAAGTCCAAGATGCTACGCTAGCGGCCAACTTAAAGGATAAAATGCTTACCAAAAGTTTTTAAATTTTGAATGGATTCTGTCATAAGCTAGGAAAGTCGGTTAACGCTTGAGAGAAGATTTAATTCGTTGCCGATGGTCGACGATAGTTTGGCGTAAGCACACACAGTTGCAAGCTAGCTTGGAAACGATGAAGACGGATGACGATAACGATACGTACCTCCGTAAAATGAGTCGATTGCACCAGTGCAGCGGGAAAATAACGTCATGGTCCGGTCCGGGAGAGTACAGTACAGTACAGTACTACATCATGGTACTATTAGTGCAGTCCTGAGATCATGATATACTGTACACTGTACTTACTGTATCTTTCTTTTTTTTTTACTGTACAGTACCGTATGCTGTCCGGTACGGGTACCGGTACGAATAACAATTTTGACGCGTACAGTACTGTACTGTACTGTACAATGTGTGCAGTACAGTACATGGGATTACAATGTACAATGTACTGTACTGTACAGTACAGTATTCTATTGTACTGTACACTGTACGGTACAGTACAGTATGGGATTACTGTACAGTACTTACGGCCTGGTACAGTACAGTACAGTACAGTACGTACACGAATGAACGTACTGTAGAGTACTGTACACTGTACTGTACAGTACTGTATGTAATGTTGTGCTCTTGATACTGTACTGAACCTTGGTAACTTACTAACTTGATGGTAAAAATTCAATTTTGAACATCAATCAAAGACCAAAACAAATAGGCAATCGTGAACACCAGTGTTGTCCTGCATTTGACCAACTATTTGGCCCGTTCAAAATTTCTACCAATTTTTTACTGTACACTGTACAGTGTACTGTATACCTATTATTATTTTATTTGATTATAATTACAGTATATACAATATACCATTATTATCTACACTGCTGTACATACATTGTACGCTACAATACAGCCGACTAGTATAAATTTACACAGTGGAAGTTGTTCACTTATGAAAACAACTCCCAACCAGTGCCTTCCAAAATAGAATCAACTACAGGATGACTAACGTTGAAGTTGAAGAAACAATGTCGGCCGAAGGCCGATCGAGTATAATTATGAATGAATTGATTATTATTATAGAATAGGGACTGGATACTGCATCAAACGCGTAATTGGGTCTTGTATGTTGCTTGTTTCAAAGTTTCTTCAAGAGAAAACTAACGATATGCCACTATATTTTGCGTTATTAAATGATATACCATCGTAATTTACCGAAATTGAATAATATGGGATTTTCCGATTTGTGAGCACGCTCAGTACGACACACAGCATGATTAGAGTACATTGTATGTACTGTGTATTTTACCAACGTCTATTCGGTAACGATAATTAATTAATTATTTACAGTTAATACTGTCCTGTACTGTACTGTACAGTAAGCGAATAAGGGCGACTGGATGATTCAGCAAGAATCATAGTGACGACAATGATGCTGTTGTTAAAGTTACAAAATCAATTTTATAATTTCGTCCATAGTCCTTGTAGGCTAGCAGTAGGAAATTGTTGGTCATGATTGGTCACATCATCGATGGTGATATCAATTTGTAGGGTTACTCTCCAACGATTGGATCAATATCACAGAGAATGAACCGCAAATAATCAATCAATCACTCATGACATTGATAGCCACTATTAACATGACATGGTATTATTATATCGCAATAGATAGTTTTTGCAAACGGTTATTGCTCAGTAATGCACGTAATAATGCATTTGTATGTTGCCTCAGCGCTTGTTTAAATAGATAGAACGAATCGCTAGCAATTTACAAGTATTATTCTGGACGGATTACTCTTGCTATTGCATGCAATAATATTTTACAACCTAAGGTATCCCCTCGAAATTGGACTATCATTAAAATTGAACTTGTAATTGAGGCGTACCGTAACCGAATGTGAATGCTGATATCTTCTACAAGTACGACTAGGAGTGGAATAAACTGATACGAAGATAGCAAAATTTTATTAATCTTTTCAAATTTAGTAATCTAACGTACGCTCTAATCTTTGCACACACAAATATAGTAAGTACGTGCAATCGAATCTTGTCACAGCGCTGAAATTAAAAATGTAACAGAATTTCTAAATGTTTTCACATGTGTTATATAAGTTCTCCAAACACATTGGAGCATAATGAACAGCAATTTCTTTTAACAACATTTACATAGTTGGCGGCAGCTAATGTGCAGCAGGCTCACAAACTATATCCTTTCAAAGCAGAATGGATCTAGTAACACGGATAGTTCGTTACGCTCAACAGAATGAAGTAACTAAGGTTACTAACCATTGCACTACCAACAAAATGCAGCAAGTAGAAAGATCGGAATGTCAACTAAAGATTTATACGAAGTGTTAACGGCTATATAAAAAGGTTCATCGAAGTGTAAAAATATCTTGTGCTATCCAATGTATTCGGATTCACTGGGACAAGTTAGCAATATACAATACTTCAAACATTTTCTTAATGCAGTATCTACACGTTAATAGATATACAAGAGCTTAGTAATGCGCAAAAAATCGCTCATAATTGACGGATTGGTTGATCAATGCACTCCAATAGTTAAAGCACTATCAATCCATGAAGATTTGCCACTAAGCTGAAGGAGTTAATATCCCTTTAAGGAGGCAAGCTTTCTATATAAAAAGCTATACAATTCACAGAAGAGTTGATCACAATTATAATACAAATCCTAATACAAAAATATCAACGATCAACTTCTACGAGTATTGCCTCCAGTCAAATATAAATAGCTAAAGGCAAGATGAGTTTAAGCTTCGAATACAAATTTCGCATTTGATTGTCAGAGGTAACTTAGAACTGGAAATCAAGTATTGAAAAATGTTTGAATTATCTAATCGATGACATATCTGTGCGTAGTTATTCCATGTCTGGCATGACACCTTTATTGTCATCTTTTCGTTTGCTAGGTTCGTAAACAGGACCACACTTTTCCATGTATTGTCGAATAAAATTTTTTATTCGATGCTTTACAGAATCAGTTACTCTTAGACTTTCACTGGGTTTTAAACGTTTAGTTTCCTTGTCCAGGACACCATACGATAACTAAAAATGATAGTTTTGTTTGCATGATTTACAGGGTCTAGAAGTCTTGCAATAAAGTTAATTTATTGAACTTTATGATAATTAGAATAATTTACCTTGCGAGCTAAGGCTTTAAAGTCCTCCTTAGAAGTAATATGGCCGGTCTTACAGTCTGGCTTGCGGTACGGATTAAGATGTTCAATGATTGTTGGAGTAATCTACACAAAAGATGTATTACGTTAAGCGCTTTCGTTATAGTCTTACTGTTGTAGTGTGAAAAATTGAGGGCCAAAACTACTTTGTCATTGATAGCCTTACAGTCGAATTTATAATACCTTCTGTCTAAATTCTTCCTTAACTTTCTTATCAATTATTCTATCTTTGGTGTTTACTTTTACTTCTGGGTTCGATGTAAGCTCTTTTGTGCTTACTCTTGGAGATAACGGTTGAATACCATCCTTAAGAATCAAATACGTTAAGTTGTATAATTACTGGACATAAGTTTTGTAAATAGCATAAGCTTACGAATATTCCTACCTTTACTACAGAATGATCTTCTACTTCGGTGCTGGCGGTGATGGAATCGTTTGTACTCGAAATTTTTTTAATTTTATCTGTAACATCTGTAACGGTCGGCTGTTGCCATTGTGAAACTCTGCACAGTACGGGGTTGTTCAATTGATATTAGAGGAAATATTAGAAAAATGTTAAACTTGCACCATATACTAATGCAAGAATATTATTTTTATAAAGATATCTGACCTGGTATGTATGTTATAATAATATATTCTTCCTTGTTGATCGATGGCGGCGCGCCAATCTGGTGGCAGAGGTGGAACATCTTTCAATGACTTCTGCTCGACATTTGAAGAATCTTGTGGCGGATCAGAAGCTGGCATTTCCTGCCTTTGTTGCTCTTGTACTTGATTCACAGCAGGTAAACGCGGAATAGGTTGTTGTTGCGCATGAAACATACGCAACTGATTGTATATAGCCATTTGTTGTTGTTGTTGTTGTTGATAGTACATCATTTGATTCTGTTGCCACTGTGCTGCATAGGTCGTAGGATATTGATTGTAAACGGTTGTCGGCTGAATAGTAGGCGGGTTTACGTGATTTGACGCTGTAACCGACGAATTCTGATTATCAGTTTCTTTCATTTCAGAATCGTTATTTATCGTAGAAGACTTTGGTGAAGGGGTATACTTATTGGGCTTTTCATCACGTCTTTCGTTCCTATCATGACCTGATTTTCTCTCGTGATCGTCTTTACGATCTCGTTTATCTTCAAAACTTCTTGTTGGACTATCACGACTGCCACTTCTACGCTTTCGCTTTTCTGAATGAAGTCTGTCCCGGTCTCTATTAGAACGATGATCACGTCTATAGGAACTTGACCGAGGCGATGAATTACGGTAGCTCCTTCGGCGATAAGAATGTTCATGGTGGTGATTATGGTGTGAATAGCGATGTCTAGGTGGGGAAGAATCTCGTTTGTCCCTACTTTCTCTTTCACTAGATCCATTACGTTCAGAATTTTTTTCCACTGGATCACTCTCGGAATTTGTACCACTAATAATAGTTTCGATCTTTTGTTGGACACTTTTCGAGCTTTCTGGAGTACTAACTTCTTCAACGGTGACTTTCTTCGGGATGCGATATACTTCCTTTAAAGTGCTCCAAGATGAAAGAAGATCATTTGCTACCGTGGTAATTTCACTAGCATCATCCTTGGTGATAGCTGCATCGATATGTTCATCCGATGACGCTATATTTTCGGTCATTTTTTCAGTATCATCTTCAATGTCCATTTTTACTTCAGTGATTGTATCGGCTTCAGAATCGTTTACTTGGCAAGGCATGTCTTCACTAGCACTACATAAGCTAGGAGAAGCACTTTCTTTTCCAAGGCTTATACTTGAATCTTCTTGGATATCGTTATTCTCGTCAGTAACAGTTTTCTGGTCCGAGTTTCTAGTAAGGTATTAAGTTAAATTTAATTTTAGAGTTTTACTAAAATATCGCATAAATACGTAAAAGCGAAAACTAACTGATTAGGTAATTCTTCCAAAGCAACAGTTTTCTCAGTCATCCCATTAACGGTAATATTTTCTTCCACAGGCGTACTTTGAGCCCACTTTTTTACTACGTGCATTATTTTGCTATCTTCTAGCATATTGCGCGATGTAATAGGAAGCAACTTTAAAGTATGCAAAATCTAAATGTTTGAAAATCATGGAGAATGTTAATAAGGTTGAGCTAATAATTTTGACGCAAAAATATCGACGTTAACGTTAGATTTTATCACGAACTTCTGATCGTAACTCTATGTCACTTTCATCGCTGTCTACCATCCAGCTCCAAAGCAAGGATAAACCATGGTACTTTACAAAATGCTTTAAATATACAGAACTTGCACTATCCTAGATGAGAAATGATCGGTAAGTATATTATAAAGTCCGATTTATTTCACCCCACAATATAATGATGTTAAATGTGAGGATACTACCTGAAGGACATTAAGCAATCTCAATCGATGCTCCGTAGTTTCAGCTCGAATCATCAATCGACACAGTTTCAACGTAGAATCTACATCTTCTAAGCCTCTTTCATTTTCTGTTAAGGATTGAACTTCTTCTTCGAATTCCTATTGAGAAAAAATATCAGATTTAAACTAAATGAACTATAGGGCAGTTAAAAGTAGCAATATCTTAGAATTCTAACAGATAATTCATCGCCATCTGACTCCGCAGCTGAGCCTTCATCTTTCTGGCGCGAATCTATACATTAATAATAATAAAACGTGAAATTAATATAATTAATTATGGACTATGGCACACGATGATAATAATCACACACCATTCTTTGGTGCACCTAGGTAACCACGGCATTTTTCAGAGCCGCAATAACATTCTTGAACTTCTCTCCTACGTAGAGTTCAATTTAGTTAGGGCATATTTTAATAAATGTAATTTTTCATATAAATTCAAACTAACCCGTATCGTTCGAACTGATAATCAAATGTTAGTTCAGTATTAGCTGGAATCTTTCGCAAAGTAAAGAAGCCAATTCTCAACATGCCATTTACCGTCCACTAAATAGAACGTATATTAGTTATATAATCTCTTATAGGAGTACATCATCAATATAATACAGTTTAACAACATTAAAATTTTGATTATGTTGTATAATACCTTCTGCGTAACACAGTTAGGATCACAACTATGGTTAATAAATCTAGAGAAAGTGCCTTTACGTGATGCATCAATAATCTGGTGGTAGCCAAAAAAACATAATCTTAGATTTATAAAAGACGACCTATAGCTATCATTAAGAGCATTATTGATCATACCTCATTTGGGCTTAGTGTCATGAAGTAGTAATGTTTAATTTTCTTCTTTGCGTAGTCGCGTTTTCTTCGTTCAAATTCTCTCAGATCGATAACTTCCCCGCAATATTCCAGTACGAATTGATTGCTATTACAAATTTTATTAACAAGTTTTTTGGTCAATGTTTTTCTAGTTTTTCTAATATTTCCAAATGGTTATCAAGAATACAGTGGTAAACATAGAACTTACTCTTCTAAATCTTCAAGAGTCCTTAATCCAAATCCCTTCTTCTCTGTCTTGAATACTTCAACTTTTGGGTACTCGGCCTGAAAGAAAGTTTATTATAACTGTAACTTTTACTATTCCTCAGCTACGATGGGATAAAGCATGCTCTATTTTGCTGCATGATTCAGATATACAAACCATTTGAAATCTACGATTGGTACAAAATTTCCCACAGGAACATTTAGAGCCGCTGTAATCATAATATACAGCATTTTAGATAGTTTTAACTAATTACAACAATAAATTTTTGCATAGGGTGGCAGATTTTTAAGTAGAATCTATTTAGATTCAAAGAGTAACTCTATTTTTAGGGAAACATACCATTCAATAAATAACATACGGTTCAAGCAGTTTTCTCCGCAACCAATAAAGTTTGGATCATCTATCAAAAGCGAATAAGGTACTTATTTCAGCGTGATTAAAAAATGATTATAAGCGAACTTTGATAAATGTAATAACGAAATTACACTTCTAACGGCGACGCCGGTTTATCAGACTCTATTTGAACGTTTAATACAATCATAACAATATTCTAGAAAAATTATTTCAAGTGAGACTAACCTTCATCGTAGGTACATTCGCATGTCATATTTTTTATACGTTTATCCTTTGATTTTCTATTATATACGTAAAAGAGAGAGACATTATTGGAAGTAATCAATCAGTTAACTTTCGGTACCAAGCAGATGGAACTAAAATTTGTGCTATGGTAACACTTTTTGATGGTCGAAAGTCGCTTATAATGCTGTCCTTCTAAACTCGTAAATGTACGTTCATACGGGGCGTTATTACAGTAATAAAACGTTAACAGAATTTCATGTCATAGTATCTTACCTTCCACTCAGGTAAGTATTGATATCCATCTGGTTAAATGCTGACAGCGGGTCGTCTGCGTTGCTGGTTGCCGATTTATCATCATTGTCTTCCGTCGTCTATAAGCGGAATGAATTGCAAATGAATTAAAGAAATACTTCAATAGGCTCATTGGTTAATACGGTCTCATAAAAGTACAATAAATGAAAAGCATGAATTAATGTAGTCTCTAACCTTATTCAGAGTAGTCGCCTTATCATTTCCGGAATCGTCATTACTACATAGTTATAGATTGATAGAGTACATAATTACACGGTGTACTTGCATATCATATCATAACAAAATCAAATGATAGAAATCATCATGCAACATTATTAACCAAGAAGAAAAAGCGCTATTGAGTAAAAATATGATCAATAGATCAGATAAGCCGATCGTAAGCAAAATTATTGCCGGTTGAAAAGCTATGCTGATGCTGTGCTAATTGGATAGTAACTTGCAATGAAAATTATCAGTAGCTTATTGATTATGAAGTATTTGTGATATGTGGATGGTCAATTACAAAGATTGACCAATAATCCATGTGATATTTTAATGGAATAAAATTGACTACAAGGCATATGCTACATCTTTACAAGCTGTATGAGTAGAGACTTTAATAAGAAAGTACGCCATTAGAGTATTTATTGTGTAAGCTGCGTTATCCACTTATGAGAATTTTTATAAAACTATAAAGGTGTTGAGCCACCATTTCCATGGCAGTAGAAAAAGCGCTAAGCCCGACATCAATATAAACCCTAACTCCAGGAATGACTCGATTTTAGTCTAATCACTAATTCAATCAATCCTCCCCAACATGACTATTTCAGCAAATAGCGCGCTTAAGAGGATAAAGTATGATGTGTTCTTGTAATAATTCTCACTAATACTGTATAATTAACACGCTATCACTATTTGGATTAATTCTACGTCCTAAATATTTAGTAAGCAATGCTAGCGATCGTTTGCCGATAGAGTCAAAATCCTAAAATAGTTTAACCATAGTTTAACTGACAAACTGACGGAAGGAATGACAAGCAAAGTGTTGGACATACGCACTGTATCAACCATCGTTTTTAGCTAGAATGGCCATCAAATGTATTCTGGTTCGATCTAGAAAGGAGATTCTTGCGCTTTCTTCTTATAAAATATTGTAAATGTATGCGCATCAATGTTTGATGTTGCTTATTAATAAGCGAAAGATTAACCCCAAAATAGGGTAATGTACATTAATATACGATAGCGTGAAGCGCATGATGAACTTAGTATTCAAGAGCCAAGTGTTTTATACCTTGGCCGAGCATTTGAACTCAATAACAGATGCATCCATCAGTCCAAAATGATGATTTTGCTCGGATGATTAATCGACTGCATATGAGTAGGTGATTAAAATTGCTGTCATTTTACTCTACTATAAACTAGCAATGTCCTATCGTATTTTATAGCATCTTCATTGCAGATCTTTAAAAAGTATCAAGTATTATAAGCATTCCTGATTAATGCATTCAAAATAAACGCTACATGTTGTTTGTATTAGCGTCAACGTCAGTGGCGCAGCGTTATTAAAGTCGACGATTTGGTTACTATTGTAAAAATGATAGTACAAGTCATCAAGCTTGTTACAGATGTTTGATTCTAGCATAGTAACCTTGCATGTCTTCCAAATGGATATTTAGCACATGAAAATCAATTTATTAGTTAGGTGTTTTGCTAAGGGCTGGCCAGTTGGAGCTCTTTACGTAGCAGGAGTAGTTCACGGTTATTTACTTTATCCTCAATTAAAATACAATCCATCCCATGTGGATGGATCTCCAACAAACACATACTACGGTATAGGGAGAGAAAGGTTTACACGAATCGATTGCATAGTTTTGCTATGGAATTGACGGAAGCTCCTACTCTATTTTATTAACAATTAGTGGACAACCATAACGGATTTAGGCGGCATTTTTACGGATGTTTAGTGCACGTTGGTGTAGATGCTTGTTAATCAATGTTTGTTACCGGGAGAGTCATAGCTAGTAGAAATATTCATCGATCGGGATCGATGATGTTGTAATGGAGTAACGGAGTAATGTGTTCATTTATGACAATATCATGGAATGGACGCCTTTCTGGTGAGCTACAGTATTGAAATGGTTTGAAGCTTTTTGCCACAGCGCATTTTTGATCTGCGTATATCGGAGTGAGTGCTGATTGAATGCCGCAATCCAGAATGATTGACGATAAAATATTACTGACGGTATCGATCTTTTGTCGAGGAGCATTTGCAAAGTGGAATAGCGGCACAGGTTTTACTCTACCTTGGGGCTAACACGATGTCTAGTAGAATAGGTTAAGCGCTTAATGGACATAAAAGGATGGAAAATTTGCGATCCATGCTTACCTATCCTACATTGTCTACTGTCTATTACCAGCAACATCATTGACTATGCTTGAAGTCTTTTTTATTTGTACGTGCATGATTGAATTGATTCATCATATACTTCATACTTGTTTGGTCATTTCTTTTGAGTTTTCAATTGATATTTTTAAAGTGTGGTGATGATTTTGCAAGAAAACTAGACTGTTGAACAATTTGAAGTTAGTATTTTGATTGTCAGTGGAAAGGACTTGACTGGTTTTCTTGACAAATTAGGCCAAGATCGTGATAGATAGACTAGGATAAGTCCGGACAACAAGGGGTCATTTTGAAGAATACATGGGAAAGAAAGTAACCTGTAGCCATTGGTCAACACCATGTTGACAAGGCGATTGCGATTGAGAGAACAGTGGTCAAAAATAGATGATCTATGTACAGGAAGAGGCGGCTGTTGAAATGAAGATGATGATGTTGACTTGGCAATGATCAAAGTGATTGATCAAGTACATGGTCGTCAACAAGTCTTCATTTTTGTCAAGAGAGATTTGTATCAATAATAAACATAGGCAGAATGTACTTTAGTAGTGGATTGGATCGAGACTTGTAAGCATGATGTCCACAAAGAAACTCTTTGGGCATAGGAGAAGACAAGTGTTTTTTTTTTTTAGTAAGCCATTTGTAAGATTGCAATAGAAGAACAACATGATGGATGATGATAACGACAGCAAATAATTTAGATGAAAAATGGCAAAGTTTAAATGTTGTGACCACTGACCGAGTTGGTGAGGCTGTCTTGTGAGTGTGTTTTTTCTCCCTTGATTTCATTTTATTGATTGTTGGCAATGGCTTGCTGCCTTCTCGAAAATTCAATAAGCTGCTGTGGATGGATTCAAATTTATGCGTGTGTGCGTAATACCATGGGCTCAGTCGAGCAGAATCATACTATGTTGTCTCCAAGAATGGTCAAGAGAGTTGAACGTTGACAGGCTAGCGTCGCCAGTAATATCAAGGCGTCAAGATTTCAAGCTTGCCGTGGATAGTCCCAACGAAGCAGGATGGACTTTTGCTAATTGCAGCCAATTTCCAAGTAAATCCTTGCCTTTGACAAAATGCTCCAACTTATTCTTTCACCAGTTGAAATTCAACCAACCACTATGGTAGACACACACACACACACATGGAAAGTAGCTGCTACTGCTACTGCTACTACGACTGATGATACTATGAATGACCAATCAATAGGTGGCAAGCAAGATGTACTCGATCTATCCTCAATGCAATCAAGCCAATGGTCAAGATTGGATTAGCAAGAAAGGAAGAAGTGAAATAGTGCAAAATAGTGACAGCAATTTTTACCTGTACAATTGGAGGTAGTCAAGTGGAAAAGCGCAGAGTAGACGAAAGCTTGTACAGGCGCAGTCTCGACACGGAAGGGCAAACTGCTGTTGGAGATTGGGTGCTTGCCGTTGGACCTTTGCTTTTTGACTGCGTTGAGCAAGTTGGTCGACTTTTCTTTCCTTTCTACTTACGAACGCTAGTTGACGCTGGCCCGTATGAGTAGCAAGGTCTTGCTTGACTTTCTGCAGGAAGAGAGTGCGTCGGCGCAAGCGATCAAGCTGCACAGACCGCTGATACCGTACTGGCCGTGACAGTGTACAGTGTCCAGTCCAGTGTTTGCTTACAGTATGTAGTACTCTACACTACAGTCCAACTTCCAGGAGTCCACAGTACAGTACAGTACAGTGTTCAAATGACTACAGTACAGTACGGTACAGTACAGCACTGGGAAGAAGGGGTACCATGTACTGTACACTGTACTGTACACTATACCCTACTGCACCGTACTGTACAGTACTGTACCTTTGGCCTTGAAATGATCTACAGTACAGTACAGTGCACAGTACGTACGTACTGTACAATGTACAGTACTTTATCGTTGGACATGAACTTCTCTACAGTGTACTGTACTGTACTGTTGGACTTGAACTTCTCTACAGTGTACAGTACTGTACACTGCACACTGTACCGTACCGTATTGTACTGTACACACAGTACCTTTGGACTTCAAACTATCTACAGTGCACACTGTACAGTACAGCTTTGGACAGTACTGTACAGTCAGTAAATTGTATTCCGTGGTAGCAATGCGCCAATAGCAGACTACAGTATGCCATGACCCCTTGACGCTGCAGTACAGCAAAATGTACAGTACAGTACTGTATGCGCTTGTAGCACTGTGCTAGGCAGGAAGAACCATTGCCCTTGACAGGCCATACCAACAATTTTAGTCAATGGGCCAATGGATTACCCTACGCAAACGATGCTACGGTACTGATTTTACTGAGATAGCAACTCTTTAGTACCTACTGTACAGTCTACTCTATAGTCAGTCAACTACCAACAATTTTAGCTCATGGAATTTAGAACTTGCAAAGATGGCTGGAAAGAGAATACTGTACTATTGTCTGCCATGGATGAATGAATCCATTTTTCTTCCCTTTTGGCCACAGTACTATGACTTCCAACCCTACAGTACTTGAGGCACAAGTCCTGTCCCGCTTCAGGCAGGACAGCGTCGTGTCTGTCTGTCTGTCTAATCTCGCCACTCGTCGTCACTCGTCACTAGTCGTCACTCGTCAGCAGCGTGTTACGGCATGACAGACAGGCAGATGCCGCTCCACTACCAATGAATGATGTCATTGGCGCTGTCAAAACACAATACAATAACAATGAGTATGAGGAGACAGAGGTCAAGCCGTGCTCAGCCAAAGGCCATTCTGCTGCGATAGCCAAATGCGGCTAGTTGTCCATTTCTTCACATGGTCTTTGCCAAGATCGTAGAGAAGAAGTTGCTTTCGCTTTCTCAACCTTTGCTAAGTGATACAGGTAATGAGAAATGCCAATCCGATTGTACTGACTTACTGTCCAGTCAACATGATTTCTCCATTGGTCATCCGAGGATGAGGCACATGTGGACATCCATGGCAAAATGATCATGGAGGAGAGGAGTAGGACAAGTTGGACGACTACCTTGACCAACATGGGTAAATGAGTTCGTTAACCATTCTCATTCATGATGGTCAAGGCAGTCATGGATGATGATGATTGGAAAGCTATTTTGCTTTCGACAGGTGATATTGGTCAATCATGCAGATTGACATCACTTTCTCCCACCTATGGCGATGGCTAGTGGATTCATCCAGTATTGTAGTGAAAGACGTAGTGTTGTTACTAGCAACGATCTCTGTCGAATAATCTTCTATCGCTAAGTTAGGCATCTACCAAATTGATGTTATAAATTATTTTCAATTAGATTACTAAGAAGAAATGAGTGGACATCTCGGCGATTTATCCTCTGATCAATTGCAAGCATTGAATGAATTAAAAGCCCATGTGGGTACTGAACATCCAACGGATGAGGTACAGCGATAATGCATGATGTATACTGTAGATTTACCGTAGTAAGAAGGAACTCGATCATATCAATATCGATGGCGAGAAGTAGGTTGATAAATTCACTTTCTAAGTATCGATTCCTCAACCATAGATCAGCTTTTGCTATATCTAGTAATTTTACTCGATCTCTTACTCATTTCGGCTTATTGTACCAGCTTGATAAGCCATCAGCGGATTAGCTATTGAAACAACTTTTACCAGCCCTATTTCTTTCTGCTTTTACACCAATTTCGCCTTGTTTACAGTTACTTGTCTTCCGAGCTAAGCCATCAACGGGCCTAATCATCATTAGCCATCGAAATCACTTTTACAATAATCAAGCATTCGTTTTGCCCGTTATTACCGTAATTCAGGCATGCTTCGTTAAATTGATTTCAATCTAAGCTCGTCAAAAGGCTTAGTCATCATTCAACACGGATACTCTTTTGACAATAGCCGATCATGTTCTTTGTCACTTAACAATTCCTGCTTGCTTGGTTTTCTCCATTTCCAGTTAGCCCATCTGTGGGTTTGTTGGTAAACAGTTTTGATACGTCAAATTTATTATCAAGATCGTTAGTGTTTAATAACCAATAGCATCCATGCCAAATTGCTACCATGTAGAAAGTCCAGACCTCGAACAGGTGTAGTGTGTACATTTCAGTTTTTTATACAAAGACACTATAAGTCGATTTTCGCTCATTCCATTACCATCCCATAATGTAAAGTACATCCTAATCGACTTGGTTGCACACCATGGAACATTACTATCTCTCGATATTTGCACCATTTTTTTAAATCTGTTGAATAAGCGTAACTTGATTGTGCAAGGAACTACTAGACTCTACAGTAGTTGAACTTATAGTTGGAACAGTGTCCTACTATACTGTATATATGTTTATATATATATATATCAACACGTAAGGGTACTGTAGGTATGCAATACCAGGGACTAGTTTAGTAGAAATCCCTGGCAATACTTAACTGCTTACACGTATTACAACTACATAATTATATTCGCCAGCACTGAAAGCTTAGCAATGATTAGCAGTAGAATATTAAGCTTCTATTTCTTTAAAGCTTGCTCTGTAGACAATATCGTAGTATTTTCATTGGACAGATATAATATTCTGTTATCAACTTATTATCGTAGTTACAGTATTATATCATAAGGGGTAATGCCTTCCAATCCCTTCCACCCAGCTTAACCAATAATATCCTATCAGACTTTAATATTCCATCTTTGCAACATACAATTGTTAGCGTCATCGCTGATCTTTCCAAACTTCTACTTGAATCCTATCAAAGTATCGTACAGTAGGTGACCAATATTACGATAGAAAATAACACATTCGAGTATCTGCTGTGAAAATAATCAATATCGATGCAGGACCTTCATATCGAGTAGAAAATAATACGAATATAAAGTTTGATTAGTATATGTATGCAGTATATCATAATTATCAAGATCATTTCATAAAGATTCTATTGTTTGCACTTATTACTACTTATAGGTAACATATAATTAATATGCGATCTAAATTTGTGACATATTATGTTTGCAGCTTGAATGGATTAATTCCAATTTTCCTTGAATAAGATGTAATACATGCACGTATATGCCAATCATCTTTTTCTTATAATGATGATATATGTTATACACGCTTAGGCTACCCTGTTGCGATTTTTAAGGGCCAGATCGTTTAAAGTTGAAGCAGCAAAAAAGTAAGCAATATCTCTCCCTTATTTTTAAGCGATATTCTCTAATCTACTTGATACAAGTGAAGATGATTGCGTACAAATATTTGGTAGTCCATTCGACTTACAGTGCAGTAAAGCTATAACACACTATATACGAAATCATAAATAACGCTTTTGACTTATCTTATGCAAAGTAAGTTGAATATATATTATTTTCCTTCTTCGCAGGCAATATATTAATCAATGCAAGTGGAGGAAAGAAAACGATGTTGATAACATTCTCAATCAACCGGTATAAAATTGTCCAAACTTATATGCGACAGACATTTGACTATAAAATTTGTAGTTATCTTGAAAACATTTACGCGTATTACGATTGTGCCAGGTTTATGATCATCTTCATTTACTACATCGTCCATGAAAATTTCTGATACATAAATGAACTTTACTGTTATAATAGATTTTTAATATTCCTAATTACACCCTGAACATCGTATACCAAATTCTTTGACAGAGAATATTTAAATACTACTAGCAGTAATTTTCAGTTAGAATTACACAGGTTTTTTAAATAATGTTAATATCGTTCAATAAATCATTCTTTAACTGATATGGATTATATAGTGTACAATATACACTAAACCATATCTAGAAAATCATATTGGAATCTAAATTTCTGTTAAAGATCGATATACGTATTTATTAACCACTGATTGTCGCTAATATCTATTCTTACTGAAATTTTATAATTTTAGCACTCTACTATGTTAGATCTGATAATGACTGAATAATTTCACTTACGTATATATTTTATTACCTTTCATTACCGTTCCATCTCATCAATTTAGCCTCCACTTGATAAGGAAATGATGGCGGTTGGTTCTAAATTACGTCTTCCTTTCATTCTTAAAACCTATTGATGTCATGACTTGATTCTTTCCTACACTGCAGATTATTTCTCTAGGCTATCATAAACATGATCGAGATGGAAGACCCGTTTATGTTGAATTAACTGGCAAAATTGATGCAAACAAACTCATGGAGGTAGATACAATACAATGTTTTCGTAGTTGTCATGTATACGCGTACACAGTTATTTATACAGTATGTCTAGACACTTTTAAATTTGAAATATCGAGTTTGTTTAAATTAAATTAAAGCAATATACTGATGCCATTGCTACCATGATATAAATTTTGCTAGTTGCCACTAAGTGAAATTATGAAAAGACATATATGGCACAACGAAAAACAGTTTCGTAGGGCTGAAGAATTATCTAAACAATTTGTAAGCGATCGCGGTATAAACCTTCATAGAGCATGCTTTCAAATCGATCGTATTTCTAGATTTCTTTTATTACTAGGGAAAAAATATAGAAACAACAACGCAAATTCATGATATGACTGGGTTAAATTTCTCACACCGGTAATAGTGATTCCGAATCTACTGTTAGAGCGGTATTTATTAACAACCCACTGATTTACAAATTGTTATGATTTTATACATATATGTATATATACTCTCGCGCACAGCAAATGTTTATCAATATTTAAGCATGTTTCAAAAATTGACCAAGATGTCTATCCTGAAAGGGTAGGGAGGGTAAGCACTTACAACATATACTTGATATTTAATAAAATTACAAAAGTACTTTTTAGTTAAACTCCATCTACTAAAGGTATACATATTTGATAATGACTTACTACAAATTGATACTTTCGCATTATCTATTCTTATTTAGGTTATATTTGTTAACGTGCCATGGTTAGTTATTGACATAAATAGTCCGGAAAAACACTTTCACTCTCGTGCTATTAGAGTTTGCATTTCTGATATCTTGCTTAGAGAAGCATTTTTGAACTTTTTCTTAGGCTATTTCCTCTATTATGGAAAATAGCTAGCCCATTATTAGATCCGAATACCAGGGAGAAATTTGTAGTTCTTGGAGGAAATGAAATACATAAGTTATTGGTATAAATGGATTAATAGAGTTGTAGTGTGATAGTTCTACCTTGCTTTAAAATTCAATTGTATCTACTGTAGGATTACGTTGAGCCAGAAAACCTTCCTGAAATATTTGGAGGAGTTTGTAAATGCCCTGGCGGATGTATGCATATAGTTCCTGGACATTTGGTATGCACATTGTTTCTGCTTTGTTGTTAGATTATGTAACTAGCTATTAATTTATAACTATAGTTATATGTTGCCCTACCTTCAGTATGCTCGTATCTAATAGCTTGCTGTTTTTCAGGATTCAAAAAGTGCCGATAGCCACGGTCTAATCCAGACCAATATCAGTGAGCCCAGCTAGTATTCGTTTAAAGATACTTTAACTTTAAACTATTACGGTATTTCCTTCTTGTAACATTCATTATCAACTGTGTAACTGTGATGTATATAGAAGCTGGAAAGTCTTTATTACAAGAAATTCATTGCACCAAAGGAGAAACTGTTTACTGGCATTATATAGCAGCTAGGTTAGATATAGCTTGTCAATGATAAATAATACAAAATTAACCGAGTAATGAAGTTGGGTTGATATTTCTATGAAGCCATAATTACAGCTACAGTAATTGACTAATTTTTGTTTTTGTAAACTTTTTAGTACTGATATTAAATTTAGAGTTCTTTGGCAACCGGAAAAAGCCTCACAACCAGAAAGTATCATCCCATTAGAGCACGTTACCCTTGAATCAGCTGAAGGGTTTGTTCTGTAATAATATCGATGATATTATTACATTCAACTTTTAATCTTGTTATCTCTCTCTAATGATCTGTTCGTAGGCATTTTGCCGCTACTGCGAATGGAAAACTTATAATTGAATTTGATAATTCTACATCGACTTGGTTATCTAAGGGTATTAAGTAAGTTTAAATATTTACTAAATTCGTCATACTTCAACAAGTCTATAATCGAAATAATTTGTTTTAAATTAATTGCTATAGATATCGAATTAATGTTGACCATGGATCATAAATTGTCAAGGCTTCGCGTGAATATACTGGGACTAGCAATTCACTCTATGCTAATGCTCCGTGTAAACTCGCTGGCAGTAGTAATTTACACTACGCATATTCCTATATTAGCGTGTCTGCCACGTAAATTAGTGATATCACACGTACTTGACATGAAAATTCATGTTTACTGATACGATAACGGAGTATAATAATAATAATAAAATATGTACTACCGCCTAGTAAAAATGTCAACACCATTTAGAAATTGTTAAAATTATAATATTTTATATAGTTAGTTATATTATACGCTTATCTCCCTACGAAAATATTCTATATAATCAAACTAGTATGTTGTACTATACTGGTACTATATTTCGATTATTGAAACAAATGCTACTTGTATGTGGTGTTACGTCAATAAGTTATGCTGTATACTAATAAAATGAGACTTGTATTGCAATATGCTAGTAATTGATTTGATGTGGCTGAATAACTTTTAATATTAAAGATACTTCTTGACTTGATTGCTTCAACCGATTGAATAATTTTTGACAGTAATATCGTTTTACACTATAAAATTTCTTCCATGTGCAAACATGTTTAGCTCCAAATTTTAATGCAGTTCGGAATTGCTGTAGGCATATAGCATCTAGTCTCCCTTTAATGAACTGCATCATTTGTATTGAAGCAGTAAACACTTTAATTGGAAAGCTTCTTTACAATCTCTAGCTAGCATTACACCAACCACATAGATTCTAGAGGTTTCCTTTACATACATTAGTAATCGAAATAGGTAAAACAACATGATGTTAATGCCTCAAATGATACGTTTTATTAATTTCTGAACGATAATGTCGGAATATCATAAGTATAGCGGTGCTAATACTATCCCTGTAGACTTCTTTCATATATCAAATCATTTTAGGTTACTAAACAACTAATTGCAGCAAAATGCAATCCGCATAGGCTATTACAGCTTAATAAATTCGATACAATACTAATATATACGCGTACGCGTATAGTATTCTACTGCCTATCACATTATTGTACCAAAAGTGGAGTATTCATATATGATATTACTGGTACTGTCTAATCGCGAATACTATTCTTTGGCTTTAGGATAGTAAATTTAGACAGAAAGTGGCATAGTAATAGCAATCGTATCTAATAAATTGTAAAAATTTTGCTTCCTAAGTCAAAGACTTCCATACAGTAGTGCGTACAAATAAACATTGCTCTTTATCTTACATTTTCGCTAGTAATATTCTAATAAATTATTGCAGCTTCGCTGTTGACATTGAACTGTTGCAAAAGTACAATGATATCTAATGAAACAACATATAAAATAGCATTGAAGAATTAGCCCAATAACAAATTTACATGCAAAAATGTAAGTAAATCTTTAAATTTTGATATAATTGTTGTTAGAAAGAACGAAATAGCTTAATTTTATGCAGTAATGATATAAAACAGGTTAAATTCTATGATAAAGTTAATTTCTTTTACATTTCTTTTAAGAGGCACATTTAGATTTTTGCTTTATTTTTCAATAATAATAGCGACGAATCAATTTAGTTAGGACAAATTTCTTATTGGTAATTAGACGCTTAGTGTTTATAATACCTAATTTATTTCGGATCAATTTTATGTAAATGAAAGAGGAGGACAGTCTATCATAACTTTGTTATAAATCAATGTACTCTGCTACAGGTAGTGCTGTCCTGCTGTCTTGTCTTAACAATGCAGCACTCAGAGTAGAAAGCATGATACGATAGTAATTATTAATTCACATTTGTATCGAACCATTGAAAATCATTTAGTTCTTCGGCTTCGACAGTCACTTGATAATCTATCCATCAGGATCATTGCAGCAAATTTTCATCTGATCCGGTCGGTGCCATTTTCTTATCTCTGGCTGATCTTTTAATCGAGCTTCTCTTACTTACTTGGTAGTTTCGCTTCGATAAAGAGTTTTTATGATTAGAATTGGATAAGCGCATCTTGGCTATTTCTCGATTTTTCTTTTCAATCTCCATTTCGGCATGTTGTAGTTGCAAATCTAACATTTTTATTTTCAGCTGCAACATTCGCTTTTCGTCTTGCGAATCACTAAGAGTGCTCTCCAAATTCTTTATTTGCTGCAGCGATTACCAAATCATTCCCGAAAATAAAATAATCACGAAATATTTTTAGTTTTACATGGTCTAAAGAGATATTTACTTATATATGAAAGTTATAATCAGTCTAAAGAAAATTATAAATAAGATGGTGTCGATACAGAGATACGTAGATTTTTACTTTGAATAAGGCAGCAAGACAAAGTTACAAACTACAGATATTGTACTTATAGGTACAAATTAATGATAATTAGTTGAGATCTTTAATTTTAGTGCATGAGAAAAATTTATTTTAAATAACTTAATTATAAAAGAAGTCTTTTAACTAGTCTGCATTTACTTTACTGCAACGGACCTCATCAACAACAGTATTTACATTGTGATCTTCTAAATTTGATATATGCGACGCATAGTTAGTTTTAAAGTTCATTTCCCGGGATATAACAAGTTCTAACAACCCCAAATGAGATATAGCGGCATTAAATGTATCTTCGACTACTTTTATAGAAGTAGCCATAACAAACTCGCCATTAACCTAAGCAGTTTGAAAGGATTGGTAATGGTCATATATAATTAACCAGATTCATTTTAGTTCTATCTAGATATAAAACCTATGAATTTCGATAATTTGCTCAGTTGTACACTACTATGAAAAAGATATTTATACTTATATGATAATCTTTTCATAGTACTTACTTCTACAATTTCATCACCAACTAGTAACTGACCATCTCTACCTATAACTCCATTTTCATCAATTTTGATGATATAAATACCGCGTCTCAAAGAATATGAATCAACGTCACTGCTCGATTTCTGGCAAAATTCAATTCCAACAATGTTTGATTCTTGTTGCTGTTGATGATTATATTGATGTTGTAATATTGTTATAGCCAGGAAATGACGACGTTGACCCAAAATACTATGCAAATTTAAGGTTAGCTGCGACGTCATCAGTAGTTCCATAGCATTAAGTGGCTATTAATGAAAATATTAATATAAAGCAATGCATAAGATCTCAAATGGAAGCCATTAATCAATAAGTAAATAATCCCTAAATTTATTTATTTATAAGAGGCAACAATCTAAATCATCTTCTGTAAGCAAGTAATTTTAGTACGACACTTATCAAAATTGATACTTATCATTCTATTAGTTCTACTATTAACTATTAGATGAAATAATAGGCAGTAGAACGTAAAGTGACCATAGGCTATGTACATCTAGATCGATGGAGCGAAATCCATCGTAAATTACTGTGTCAAATACAACGAGCAAGTGTTGCAATAATATATATAATCATTGTTACTTTAGTTTGCGATCCAACAGATAAAGTTTCATTGAATTTGGCATCTTTGTTTTCTGCTTTCTTCATATCTATTTACAATCAAAAAATACAGGATAAAGTTTAAAGTTAAGTTATTCTATAGCTCTTTTGCTTCCTTTAAAAATTGCACGAGTACACAACATCAACATGAAAGAGTATAGCTCGTAGAAGGTACATACAGTACATTATGTGCAGCTATCGAGTACTCCATAATAGAGCGATTTAATAAAATAATAAAAACGATTTTAAGTAGGGCGATAACAAAGTTATATTTTAATACCTAAAAGAGAATTGAGTGACATTTTACGTATCGGAGCAGGAAGACTAGCTTGTGGAGGACATAGCAGTTTATTTCCTTCGACAACATCATTTTCAGTTTTTTGACGGCTTTTAGTGACTTCATGAAGTTGGTTAATATCATTTTGTTTAAGGTTTTCAGTCTCAGCTGAGTTAATTGTGACTGTCTCAATAATTTTTGGGGTTTGATTTTTCAAATCGTCTCCGTCTAATTGTTGATTAATAGATGTGGCAAATTCGGGAGGAGGATCAATAATTATTGCGGCATTAGTGATATCGAAGACCTCCTATTAAGATTTAATATGATTTTAGCTGGAGAATGTCAGGAAGTCATTTACTCTATCATTATTAAGAACAGTACCGGTAGTAGTAAAAAGTATAAACTTACTTGTTTTGGCATATTTAATATATTATACACTTAAATTTACAGATTTTCGTTTACTTACAGTTTTTAAAATACCAGTTTAAATTTTACATTCCATAGCAAATTTAACACATAAATAGTCGCCAACTTACCGGTTGACGATCATCTTCTCCGCAACTTCCCAAATCTAAGGTATCAATACTAACATTTGCTAAAGAGCCTGCACAAGGCGATGTTGTTGAGCTTGAGACTGGTGTACACTGACCGCTGACTTGATATCCACTATCACCATCGTTGTTTGTATGAGTAGTTGCGAGAGTAATATCTTGAATACCGGTAACGATTTTCTTGAAAACTTTATCATGGAATTGCTCAGAACATCTTCTGCATCTTTTCTCAGAATGGGGATTTCTATAGATAATCGAGCTCTGATTAGAGCTGCTGCCGCCATTGCTTTCAAACCCGTCATAATCAATCTTGAATTTAAGTGCATACATTTTAAAATTTGTCAGATACGCTAATAGATCATAGAAAAAATTTCAACTTGTATAGTAATAGCTCAAACTGTCGTCTCACTAATTAGAACAATGTACCATCGAGTGTTAATTATTTAATCTTGCAACTGTTAGAAGATAATTTATGCCGATAAAATAGAAGTCGACTAACAATCTTTGCAACACACTATACGGTTCATGTTGTATAGGCGTTATAATAAGGCGTACAAAAGCTAAGATTCTTCTGTTTCATGGTTATGTGCCTGATTTGGTTTTTGATTGATTATTCACATTAGAGAATTTGTGATTATCGACAGCATGGATTTTAGCAATTATAGTATAAAATTCAGAAATATATTTTCAAATATGAACACATTACTGCCTATTAAGCATAGTTCTTTATAATTATAAATTTGAACTGTATTTTCTTCCTGTATATATGCTCTTATTTAATGCCAGATAACGTAAATTCGGTAAAGTAATAGGATAAATTTTAAATTTAATTATACGTAAAGCATCTTGTAAACGAACTTACAGAAGCGCTTTTTGCATTAGATGAAATCTTTGGCGGCCTTGCTAATCGTGCTCTTCTTAACAATTGTAAGTTTGCACCATCCGAATTATCAGGTTGATATTTTCCCTAAGAATATTGGATATCTGTTAAGCTTACTCAACCACTTAGAGCATTTATTGTTAAGAAAATTAAAGTAATTGTGCAACACCAAACATTATAGGATGTAGTAACATGGAATAGCTAGAATGAAAAATACATGTATACTTTTAAAATTCTTTTAAGTGAGGAAGATTCTATGTTACGTAATTTACTTGATCAAAATCATATGCTTTACGACAAAGATGTAAGGTAGCGTTCGCGCTTTTGCCCCATATATCTTGAATGGCTACTGGACATTCATCATCCATAATTATTCTATCAACTATAAATAAGAGAAATGATATCAAATCTATATTTGTGTCGTCTTGATTATGCAATTGTGCTAAGCTATATAACGTTACTAAATTTGAATTTCAGATTGTAATTCAGTACAATTCTACATACTGCGATGCTTTTGTGATACTTCATGTAAACAAAAGTGATTGGGGCTTTCATTGGATTTATACGACGCCAGAACCATTCGAACAACATTATAAGCCTTCGTTTCTTCAGATACGATTAAGGTTTTATAATCAGCCTTTTGTTAATAAGAAAGATCACAAAACAAGACGGCTTAAAAGTATTAATTCGAATCCAAAGATATAGAGCAATCAAACTTAATCAACGTAATACCGTATAAGTTTGAGCACCTGTAGAAACTACGTATTATTATAATACTTATGTGAAAAGCAGTAGCTGATATAGGAAAAGATTTGTAAATTCTGTCAATATACTGGTAATATGTTCATTAAACAGGTATAACTCTAAGCTGTACGTGCGGAAGAGTTAAAGGCACTCAATCAAGCTACTCTCGCCATACGTGTAGTAGATTAGAACAACGGTAATATTTAACTGATTAAAGATCATACGAAATGTTAGAATTTCAGATTATTATCTGCATCTATAAGTCACAAGAAATTGGAGCTTAAGTGCGAACACCAGATAATAGTAATTATAAGAAGTATACAGGTCGACATTTAGACATTAGCTTATCTAACTAATTAAAATCATAATCCATTCAGTTACAAATGCAAACTACCTCCGGTGCTAGAACATAACCATAAATTTTAATTAATTTTCCTTCTTTTACCGCTAACTGAAAGCTAGATAGAAAAATTATATACGTCGGTCAATATCAAAACCTTCAAATATTCAACTCAGAATCATGTTTAGAAGCTCTTAAAATTTCAGCAATACTTTTCAATCTTAACATTACTTACGAAGGCTTTGCATGGGCCGTAGTAGATAAAATTTCTAAGATTAAGCTATCATTTTCGAGAGATATCCACTTAAGTTCCGCTGTTTAAATGCAAATATAATATTTCTAGTTAAAAATTTGTTACAAAACCTACTGCGATAAAAATCCTATGATATGTTTTCAGTTTTCACTTTCACTAATTCGTTTATTACCACGGCTTTATAATTATTATTGACATGCTTGTACTGGCGATTTTTATGTACGCTAAGATTTAATTACTTTTAGCTTGTTTAAGATAACGTATTTAAATTGACGAACACAGAACATATCTTATAAAGGTTACTATGCAAGAAAAGTCGATAGATCTTTAACTAGAATTTTTCGTATAAGATTTTAAAGATTTTCAGATATTAGGCTTTTTAAAGCGACTTTCGTCAGCAACAAAAAATTTTGAAGTATTTCAAGATGTTACTTATGAATACTAGAATTTTTGAACTAATTCATACAAGTCGATTTAATTTAGTTAATGGATGTCTAGCTGAAGTTGGAAAAGAATTTACTCTATTCGCAGAATGCAAGTTTAGCAAGTTGTAAACAATATGTAGCTAGTTCAGTTGATGCGCTTCTAAAATTGCTCTTACCATCTTCTTGCTGCTTAACTTCCATTTTTAAGTAGTATAAATTAATGTCCCTCGTATTTACGGTATACTCTTTCATGACCATATTAACGACGTCCTTGCTATGAAATGCAATGATAATAAAACAAATTATCGTTTTTCAACTTAGTAATATCGTATCTAATCTGTATATAATCATCTGCAGATATTACAATGGTGCCTGAAGCAATATAGGTATAGGGGTATTCATAAGTGCAGATGCTACGTAATATGACTTCAGTCACTTATCTGACATGAAATAAGCATTTATAATTTTACAGTGGGTATTTAGTACGATAGGAATAACCTGAATTAGGATCAATATCTTTAGGATATTTCGAATATTAATCCACAAAATAGCGAGTATGCGATCTTTTTTGTTTAAATAAAAGCGCGTTATTTTAATTCAGTAAAGATTAATGTTGCATATATTGTATTTAAAGTCCGAAAAGTGTAGTAGGTCTGCAGTTCAATATTGGTAAAGTTAATATCTATATATTAGTATTTTATACATCTAAAGTTTACCGTTAAGTGGATTAGAGTATTGTAAATTTGAGATAGTATTTTCTTTCGCCTAAGTATCTTGATTAGTACGATATTGACTTTTATATATTTGAGATGATTTATCTCATACTTCTTTGGGCGCTTGTATGACTGTAGCGCCTCTGCTAGATTTCGTCAGTGATTATTAGTAAAACAATACTCGAGATAGAAGTACTTGGTACCGTCCAATAATATAGAAATTTGTATAGAGATTGTAAAGTCTTAAGTAGCTAAGGATAATTATCCGGTTTATCTTAGTCACTTTCAGCTGTTCTTATAGAGCGGAGAAATAATTCTACGACTGACCTCCAAAACGCATTTTGCATAGCGGTTTAATAAACCTTAGAAATTTGAAGACTATACTATATCGGCTATCATTATTGTGATACAGGATAGTGTCTTGTGAACTATAGCAAAGAGACCGAATTTAATCGAAGTACAGTAAGCTAGATCTTACAATGACCCTTTAATGTTATCATAAGTTTTAATCCGTAAAAACTTTGAAGGAAATGACATAGATGCTGTTGTTACGAATTAGAAAAATTTTAATTGATTTAAAATGCTTGATGAGCAACAATAATTTATAAAACTTGTATATTTGTCTGATGACCTAACTAAGCAATCATATTTCTGCTTGAAACTATAATCATTGGTATTAGATCTCTATAATACAACTAAATATTATTAACTAAAACATTATTATTTATAATGTACGACACAAACTCAGTTACGCATTTGATTATTACGATGAGATATCGGTTAGTACTATTGCATGCAGTTATGGAACGCCATTGTTCTTGTTTTCAACTTATAACTGTACTAATATCTACAATAAAGTTCAGTGGATATAATAAATTATAAAATTCCCTATAATTTACACATATTGTGTTTTCTGTTAATATGGAATTTCGCATTAACTTGGAATACATCGTTGCTTATAGTCTATAATATTAGTACCCATGCAAGGGGGCACAATAACTTTGACAATATACTGTAGTTAATATGTATGATTTCGATTTTGCTAGATTTGCTATGACAGCTAATAAATCCATTTAGTTATCTTTAGGCCATAGAATCGGAATTTTTAAATATTTTGAAGCATTTAAGACTAGTTGAAGCTGGTAATAAATGGAATTACTTATATTCCAGTATATGTTGAAGACTATATTGGTAGTTCAAAGTAATTTATAAGTCATTACAATGATACTTTCATATGTGTTAGAGAGTAAACTAGAGTAGTGTTATTGCTACGACTAATAGCGGTACGTATCTTTCACGATCATTTGCTTATGATACAAGGAGCTACTATATTTATTCTGTAAGATTCTATTGTTTATAGCCAGTAGTTAAGAATATTTTATTAAATAAGAAATGTCTAAGTAGGTAAAAAGGCTCTTAAAATAACACTATTTTTAGTATGACGAGGCAAAGTTGATGCTGCTACAATTACTAATCGCTGTTGAGATACGAAAGCGTACCTCATTTTAATATTTATCAGAAATAAGTAGTAACGTTCGTTAAATGGAGTATCGTACCGATATGACTTTTCTATCGTAGAAGTTGAATTATGCTAATAAAACTAGGCAATATCACGATAATATTTGATGATTCTGTCAAACAATGTACACTAAAGATCGTAAAATGAGATTTAAGGTTACATTTCAAGTGAGCTTACCTTGTAGTTTTACTACCAACAATCAGGTTTATTATTTGATCGTTTTGAAAGAGTATTTTCGTATCAATACGGATGGACAGGGGCGTATATTCCATCTTTCGTGTAACGTATATTGAAAGATAGGTATAAATAGATTGATTAATAAGATAGTGATAAAATTTGGGGTGGGTTAGAGAACAGTAATGATATCTTGGTTATGCCTTTATAATTTTAATTAGATACTTCAGGGGAGACACTGTCTACTAGTAGGTGATATTCAGTTGACATACCATGTTTGATTGACATAGACTGAGTAAAAAAATTAACACTGAAGGATTATTAATTAATTATCTACGACCAGCCAATACTAAACTGATAATTCCAACTACTTTGGGTATTAGAAACTTCTAACATTTCATAATTTAATGATAACAGTTACCGTAATAAAAGATTGCTTATAATTATAATTATCAGCAACATCAATTTCAATAGCGATAGTAGTGTAATAATGCTATAAGGAAGTAACCATTATTTGATATCAAATTCAAAATTCTATTAAATAATATCTAATATAATTGCTATGCTTATTACGTATCTGGATTGTACATCACGTAAAGATTTTATTAATTAGCAACGATTACTATTATTTATTATTATTAGGATAATTAAAATATTTAATTTAGCCAATTGCTTTATGTTGCAAGAGCAAATATAAACAGCAAGATGGCAGCAACGAATAACCTATTGTCAACTGTAGATGAAAGTAATTAACAACCAGATGAATAGCGCACTAAAAAACACTGTAAATTAGTATGTATATAGATAAAACTCAAAATTTAAATTGTTTCAGCGGTTGTGTGCGAAGTAAATAAATTGTGCTTTTATAAGATTAGAATATCAGTTCAAACATTACGTAAACGCAAATTCCTGCAGGATATTTGGATACGAATTACTTATGCTTGCAAAGATTTTATCATGATGTATCCTAATTTCAGGGTGCTTATTTCAATTTGGATCCTAGCACAACTCCGATCAGAAAAATTTCGAAGCGATATTTATATTATGAATTGGCTGCTTTTTCAGAGCTAAGGAAACCATTTGTAATATCAGTTCAAACATTATGTAAACACGAATGCCGGCAAGATATTTTGATGCGAATTATAGAACTAAGGAAACTAATTGTCTAATGGTTAAAATGGATATCATTAAACATTAATGGCTTTCTATTTATTGATTTAGCAAGAAAATTTATAACCGCTATTATTAGCTATAGAATTCTATTTCCAATGTCATCACCTTCAAAGAAGGAATAATAATAAGTAATTTATTAACCTGCTTTGCTGCTATTCTTTAGTAAATATTAATGCTATTACCCATATTGGTAATTAGTATATATTACTGTCCTGCTTCCGCTTAGCCATAAATATTTCTATTACACATTCATTATATATGTTGGACGTAAAATGATATTTAATACGATACCACTTCATTTTTATAAGTAACACATGCGCAAGAGGTCTCCGCATAGTAAACGTTTCACTTTAACAGCCATTATGAGCACGACGAAGAAAAAACAAATATTAATATTATACAAGTGTTGATATCACTACCTTACAAATGTGTAACAGCAGAGATGAAGTATGCCGGATTAATTCGCGAATAATCAAAACGGATGATGTAATATACTATTGAGATAATACAATATGCTTAATGACGCTTTGGGTAAAATTGTTGAAGGTAGTGTTATGCATCTATTCAAAGACAGCAAGCGCAGATTTGTATCTTGCTTTATGAAAAAATGGATGTTTGCATAAGACAAATTAATTAAAACTTTTCATTCCATACCGATCGTCTATGAGTAGTATGATTATTCTTGATTATACTACGGCAAGCAACTTCACGAGTATAGCGTGATGAAATGTACTACGTATATTATCACATAGGATCATAATAGGATGAAAACCATAACGAATCCACAAGTATTGAGAACAAGAATCTTAATGTGACATATCTACGCGTACGTATATAATACATTTACGAATGGAAATACATGAGGGATCTAGGTAAAAGGATTGATGGTTCTACCCCTTCCTGATTAATAAGAGTAGTAGATTACACACAGTGTAATCAGTAAGCATCCTACTTCAGTATAAGGCCTAAATCTTACGAAGCTTATATTTCTACTTAATGTAATCACAACTGATTAAAATAGTAGCCCAGTAAATAGCTTATGACTTTAGGGTAAAAATTCTCGAAAAAATCGTAACGGTTTCCGAAAATAAAAATAAGTGATGGGTTAATATTGAAGTTAAATTTGTTAGCCAATGGAGTAATTATCGACGACTCTTGCTAATGAGGTATTAGACACAGTGCGCAAATAATACAATAAGAAGCAAGCAAATGCACGAATTATGTATAGGATTCTATTGTAAAGTTGAAGTATATCGATGATATGAATGTCATCTCCTACATATAGGAAACAGTTTTCGATAGATGTTTTTAGTCCGAAAAAAATAGCAGTGGGTTCACCATGCCAAGTTGAAGACTGTGTTTAATGAAAGCTTAAACTTAAAGTAAAGGATTTAGTTGCCTAATATCAAAAGCGAATCAACTTTGAATTTGACTACAGCAGATAGTGATAGCTAGTTAAAAAGAAGACGCACTCTATTATTATACGCATAGAATTGCTTTTAAGTTATTGAATTAAGGAAACTAGTAATTTAGTAATTATGCTGCTTGAGCTATTATGTATTAAGCTGCAACAGGCTAAGTACCAGTACCGTACTATAGTAGTTAAATAATGTACTAGATGACGTTTATGACTTAGAAAAATCAGCAATTATTTTGATTAAACTCAGACATTAAGCTCT